TGTGATATCACAGATTCTTGGAAGACTGGGATCAACAGCACAAAATAAAGTTGACCACTAACTGCACTAATTCCCTAGATAAAATAGCATTAATAAATAATTAAATACAGACGTAAAAATAACGTTGCTGTATTTTTAAAACGCAAACACTAGTCTACCTTACTGCCTCAAAACCTATTAAAAACCTCGATTTAACCCAAAAGTGTTTTAGGCCCGCTCAGTCTGGCCTAAGAATATCTTACAAGCCTTACAATGCCCTAAGAATACATACTACCCAACTCATGCAGTCGGAAAGGTTGATGATATTCTTGAGAGATATAAGAATTTTGCACTAGATTGTAATATTTTGTTGAATTATCTGCATGTCTCTTGCAAATTGTCTATACAGTACCTAGGTCATTAAAGTATTTGTGTGTACGTGTGATACCATACCACTTGTGAGGGAGGAAATGTATATGTTTATCTCTCAGAATGTTTGGTAATATGTTTATTGTTTGTGATGTGTCTATGTATGTATTAACACGATGTACTGAACGGGGTGAGAATAGCTTGAGCTACCTCATCCCTTTGTGTGTATTTTACATCAATAAACTTATTTCAATTTCAATTTGTGCAGTAAATATTATTCAAACCTAGCCCTAAGAGTGCCTATTGCCCATCCCTAGAAAAATATAATACTGTATCCAGCCTACTCCTGTAATTCCTACTGCCCCCCTAGCCCACCCACACAAACCAAGGTATACATTTTGCCTCAATTTACCTTGGAAATGTATTCGTAGCCTGGTCCGCGAGTGCGTATTGGCCTAGCCAACCGGTTCTGGTCTACCAATACCCATTGCCCTAGCCAACCAGCCCTGACAAAGGCGTCCTCGCCTCCCTTGCCAACCTGGCGATACCAAATTACCTTGCCAACCACATGCCCCTCTCAACAATAACACGCTTCTTTTCACCCTTGCTCGGTGAGGGAGGAGCTAGTCTGAGGGGCAGGGTGTGAGGGGGAATGAGGGGAAAGTATGGGGGGATAGGGAGACATGGGGCCGAGGGGAATGAGATGGGGCAAGTGGGGGGTGTGGGGTTGGGAATAAGGTATGGGGCAGGGGGAGATGATGTGTGGGGGGTAGGGATTTGAGAAAGGGTTGGCGAGGATAGGGGTTTTTGGACGGAGGTGTGGGCAGGGTAAGCCTGCAGGCTTGTGGGACGTGCAGGTGTGGGCAGGGTAAGCCTGCAGGTTTGTGGTACGTACAGGTGTGGACAGAGTAAGCCTGTAGGCTTGTGGGACGTACAGGTGTGAACAGGGTAAGCCTGCAGGCTTGTGGGACGTACAGCTGTGGACAAGGTAAGCCTGCAGGCTTGTGGGACGTGCAGGTGTGGACAGAGTAAGCCTGCAGGCTTGTGGGACGTGCAGGTGTGGGCAGGGTAAGCCTGCAGGCTTGTGGGACGTGCAGGTGTGGGCAGGGTAAGCCTGCAGGCTTGTGGGGGCCAGGACAACCCAACCAGCCAGGCCAGACCGCCTCACCTGCCCACACTTTGGTACATATTTCCCCACCCAAGTGTTGTCATCTGTCTCCAGGTGGGCCAGGTGGTGCCCAGAGGCGTAAACTAGGTGATGCTCCACTCACCTGGCTTCAGATGTCTCTTCTTCCTTCAGTCGCTTCAAATCAGACATCTCAAGTTCAAACTTCAGCCGATTGACTTCGCAGAGCAAAACATCGCGCTCTTGCATCGACTTATCTAACTCCTTTTTCAGCGACTCGCACTCGGTGGTGAGTTTGCGGATAATCTCGTCCTTATCCTCCATCATAGACGGCTCATTAACTGCAATTTCAACGCATGTAACACTGGGAAAAGCGCAGTTTTCACACACACTTGCCAGGAGCGCCTCGCACACACACACACTCACCACGCCATGCTACGGTAAACTGTGACGTCACTCAAGTTCATTTGGCTAGTAGCCCACCAGTTGCCATCTATACTATAATACAGAAATTTATCCACCTAAGGCTGTTCCGGTTCGTATCCCGTGGATACATTGTGGTAATATATACCATAGTGATATGTGAATGAGTAAAATGATCGATGGTTTTGATGCTAAACTATGAGAGGAAAAATGAGAGAGTGGTACCTGTGGAGGCTTGGAGGTGCGCCTGCGCGGTGGGCCCGCCACAGCTATCCTAGGACACATTGGTAGGGAGACTGGACCGTAGTATCCTTCACACGCGAGCCATAGTATCCTTCACTGGGTGGGGACACGCGAGCCATAGTATCCTTCACTGGGTGGGGACACGCGAGCCATAGTATCCTTCACTGGGTGGGGACACGCGAGCCATAATATCCTACACTGGGTGGGGACATTCGAGCCATAGTATCCTTCACTGGGAAGGGGTTAATAGAAAGGGACTGAATCGTTGCACTTTTCGCAACGAAAGTACTTTTTTTTATGAAATTTTCGCTGGATAAAAGGGAATTTACTCGCATAATTCGTAAATAATCATTTAAATGGAGTGTAACATTCGAGGAAGTCATCCTTCGAACAAATACACCGCCACCTCTTTCGAGGTTATTTTTAAATTAGAGTACTTACCTTCCCCTGGGCTGTAGGAGACTCGAACCGTGGACCCACTCTTGTGAAGCCCAAGCTCTGTCTTCCCCTGCATTTGTATTAGAGCACTTACTCTTCTGGTGACATGTACAACCTCCATTTTTTTGAGGTGGCGCGGGGGAGCAAACTTATAATTCGAATGTATTATCCTACACTAATCTGCAGCAACAGCATTACTCGTATTCTAAAAAATGTAAAATATATCAAATTAAAACGAGTTTTCAGGACGCACTTGGCCGATAGCTGCCAGTATCTCACGCACACTAAGTTGATGCATGTATCCGTTCCCCCACACTTGCCGATACCTTAATCTACTGCTAATTGTGTTCGTCTGTAATGAATTATTAATAACTAGGGCAAATTTTAATCTTTCATCGAGGCCCTGAACCCTTGTCCACTTTATACGGAATAAATTAATATCTGAAACCCTGGGCCCAGATTCACGAAGCAGTCACGCAAGTACTTACGAACCTGTCCATCTTTTCTCAATCTTTGTTTACAATTATTAAACAGTTAATGAGCTCCGGAGCACCAGGAGGCTGTTTATAACAATAACAACAGTTGATTGGCAAGTTTTCATGCTTGTAAACTGTTTAATAAATGTAACAAAAGCCGTCAAAGATTGAGGAAAGATGTACACGTTCGTAAGTACTTGCGTAACTGCTTCGTGAATCTGGCCTCTGATGTCTAGGGATATGCTGAATGAGTATAAACACTGCTGACAAAATGTAACAATTCATTAATAAGGAGAGTTATACGGAACTGGAAATTAGCAGATTATTCACAATAGTGCCAGCCCAAAATCCCCAGTTCCAGAACCCTAAAACGCATTCATCAATTTTAACCTACTGCGTATTAAAAAAATCTCAAATATATGGTAATATTATTTTATACTAGGCTGTGCTGTTAGACCTAACTTAGGTTAGGTTCTGTTAGCCATTATTGGTATTTGCAGTACGTGAATTTATAGTGAGGTGGGATTCGAGCAGAGGACGTGAACGAATCACTGTTCGAGAAAAATACATACATCAGTTGTGCAGTGTGCAATGTGTTTATCGTTCATAAACAAGGGGTTTGGTGGCTGGATTAACGAGTATTTAACGTTTATTGATGAGAGCAGGTTGCTACAATCACTATATACACATGGGACACAACTTAATTGGGTTAAGGGAAGCATGTATAGAGCTTGAACATGTTTTTTTTTATATTTGCTGTTCCTTGTAGAATTTGCAGTTTATAATCATAAAATTGGCTTGAATTACATTTTTTTATATACATGTTTATTGTGTTTGTGTTTGATACACTCACATTTGGGGGTCGGCTATAGGAGTTAAAGGAATTCAATTAACTAGGGATTGCAACTGGAGAGTTGAAGCAGTATTGTCAGTAGTAATGCCAGTATATGGGGGTGGTTGTAGTAGTTATGAAAGTAATGGTTGTAGTAGCTGCATTTATTGTATTTGTAGTAGTAATATCTGTAGTGATAGTTGCAGTAGGAGTACCGATATTTACAAGTTAGTACTATGTGACGGTAAAGCGTTGGTGTTCGGCTGTTTCAAAAGCTAGGGGCAGGGCCTCGTCACATTAGAGAAAAAAAAAAGAGAAAAGCTGGAACTTTCGTCTGTGGTAAGGTAATGGGAAGACACACAAAGCACAAGTAAATTTAACAATGAAATTTTAATTACGTTAGAAAAACAAGACATGAATAAAGTTAAGCATAAAATATAAAAGACAAGTCAACAAACAAAATAATATGAATAATCACTGGTAAATGAAAAGTTACGTTAAGACAAGTGAGTTACAGTGATAGCAAAATAAATATGAATGGAGCTGGAATATTGGCTTCGAGCTGCCACCTCCCTTAGTACACGAAAGCCAAGGCTTAGTCTACCAGCGAGAGATGTCAACTGCAAGAAGCACTGAGATATTCTGACAATATTGGGCCACTGCAGCCCAGACATCAATTTTGGCGGAGGGCGGAGGGCAGGTGCGACCAGCCAATCAGCGACAGGCAGGCAATGGACAAGTAGTTTGCTGGTTTACGGTGGCGGTAGCTAGCAGGTGTGCCGGTGTGCTGGATACGTTTTGCTCTCTGGGCAAAACGTTTTGGAGATACTTGCTGTACGTATCTTCTATATTATCTTTTGTTTTTACGTACTTTGTAGGGAAGAGCAGGCTCAATCTCTCTTGAAAGAGATTATCGTCACAACTAATATTATTTTGTAGTGGTTAGTTCAATGGCTGGTTGGTTTACTGGTTCAATTATCAACACATAATTGAACTCGAAGTAATAAATATAAATTAAAGAAGTGTTGATTCAGGAAAGACCTGGCTAAATACTGGTTTAGTAACAGTTGTTGATTTATTGACAAATTACCCGGTGATATGATAGGCGTGGGGGTCGTTGGATTGTTTTGAGCGTAGGATAGACATGTATGAATGACTTTGGGGGGATATATATACGAGTAGCCTCATATGGGCCAGTCCTCCTTCTGCAGTTCTCTTTATTCGTATATCTTTTGGAGGCGTTGGATGGCAGCCACCCTTCAGGAGGCGACGACACCCACCCTTCAGGAGGCTACGACACCCACCCTTCAGGAGGCGACGACAGCCACCCTTCAGGAGGCGACGACAGCCACCCTTCAGGAGGCGACGACGGCCACCCTTCAGGAGGCTACGACAGCCACCCTTCAGGAGGCGACGACAACCAACCTTCAGGAGGCGACGACAACCAACCTTCAGGAGGCGACGACAACCAACCTTCAGGAGGCGACGACAGCCACCCTTCAGGAGGCGACGACACCCACCCTTCAGGAGGCTACGACACCCAACCTCCAGGAGGCGACGACACCCAACCTCCAGGAGGCGACGACACCCACCCTTCAGAGGGACCCTTCAGGACCTTTCAGGACCCTTCAGAGGGACCCTTCAGGACGACCCTTCAGAGGGACCCTTCAGAGGGACCCTTCAGAGGGAGCCCGGCCTGACCCCTGGCGGCCGGCCCCTGAACTGTATGGGGGTTTGTTTTGGCGGGCTGGAGCAGCTGATCCTGGGAGGCGAGTGGCGCCGGGCTCCCTCTCTCTCTCTCTCACGCAGCTGTGTGTATATTGTTATATTGTGTTGTGCAGCTGGTGTGTGAGTGCTTGTGGTTAGTGTGTGTGGCAGGGAGTGTGGTGAAGGGCGCCGGGGGTCAGTGTAGTGATGGAGACTAGAAGACTGTGGTCCTCACAGGGGACGACCACTGATGTGGTTCAAGTTGGTTATATATTCATTTTTGAAAGGAATAGTGACGAAATATTCTTATTCCTCAGCGTTGGAATGTGCAGTGGTATCTTTAGAACTCCGTTTGTTAGGGTGCAGCTGCACTGGCCTTTGGGAAATAAAGTGTGTTAAAACCAGTTTTAGTATGTGGTCCAAACTCATTGTCAACTATTTTTGTTTTAATAATGTGTGCTGTTATTTTAGGCTTTAATTTATTTCCAGTAGTAAAGAAAATCTTTCAGTTGTGCACCGGGTGTTGCTAATCATTGTACTTAATGTTTCAGCATTATGTAGGAATTTGTGTTTTTGCTGGTCATATTATGTGAGGTAATGTTAAATCTTTGCAGAACGAGTTTAAAGTTTTTCCACGTCGCCCGTTTCAGTTTAGCCGCATATTTCTAGACGACATGCTAGGAGAGGTTTTGTTAGGTTTGGCATGACAGGTTAGTAAAGTTAGTTACCGGTGAGTTGGAAGAAAGATGATGATAGGAAACCATGTTAGGCTAAATCATCTTGTGAAACGCTCGGTTGACGTGACTGTTTCACATCACCGCAGTTTCAACACTTGGGTGACGGAACACACAGCTTGCTAATAATGCAAGTGTCTGGCACCTCTAGGATCTGGTGTTCGGCCAGATAGTCAAATCGTTCACTTGTAAAGGAATTTCACCCGTGAAAAATGAATATTATATTAATCCATTCATCCTTTCAACACTTGTGCTCCTTTCCTTAATTAACATAATTAGTATGTGCAGGACTAACTTCCTCGTGGGTAGACATATGCAGCTTATCGTCCGGTCACCTGCATCAGCCTCTCAAAAGTTCTGTGGCTTGTTCCTAGGAAATCTGATAGTAATGTGCAAGTTTGCATATGATGTGCCGACATGTAGTAGGGTAATTTTCAATTGACTTGAAAATATTGGTTTGTATATTGTCCCTGATTTTGATGGCTGGATACTGACACTTCAGTACCCAGGATACCTGTGGCCAGCCACATTGTAGTTGTTTCCCATTGTTGGGGGACAGGAAGCCTGTTTGGCTGATCAAGGTCACCCTAGGCCAACAGCTGACCTTTTCCAAGATGCAGCCTACAACAATTGCATAGCTCTTGTGTACCTATTTACTTCTAATTGAAGAAAAGCATCGGGAGAAATTATACGAGCCCAAATGTTTCATCCCGCACGGGAATCAAACCCAGACCGTTTAGTTGTGAACCAACTGCTCAGATCTGTGCTGCAGGGTCCCACTTATTGAGATATTAACTGAAATATAGAATACAGGTTACTACCAGAGTTTTGGCACATGCCAAGTTTAAGGTTTGTACATCTTCCTGAAACCAATGAGGAAACATTTACTGGTACTGTAATTAAGATAAAGTATAACTGAATGTTTTAGTTTAGATTTTAACTGCTTTGTTTTACATAGCATTCATGTTTTTACATGCTATGGGAGTATATTTGAAGTGCTTGAGGCACTCTTGATATACTGTATGCACAAGACTCCTAGAGACTAGGGGTGTTGGAGTGCCAGTGGACGGACACAAATAACTCGCGTATCATATTTCCCTTATGTGCTCCAGCAAGGTTGGTGACTGAAGTCCTCAACTAATATTTAGTTTTTTAATAGTTCATTACTGTCTGAATTTATGAAGATCAAAACTTGCACAGCACAAGGGTCCTCAATAAGATGCTTAGTCTAATCTTTCGTGAAGTTGATTAGATCCGTCTTCAACAGTTGAGCCTCGCCAGCCTATACAATACAGTAATTAACAGTATGAAAGAACAACTGCACACAGAGAGATTTTAATGTAGGTTAATTAAAATGTCTATACACTGTATTACACTAAATCTTATCATTGCTTTGTCTATTCTTTAAATATATCATTGTTTGCATCTTTGTTTCACTAATTAATGTGAATGTAACTTTACAGGCTTGTCAGAAGGATTAACAACAAACATGTCTCTTGTAGCTGATGTTGTAGCATCAATTAGTAAGTATCTAATACTTTCGTGTATTCTTGTACATTTTGACCTAAAAATACTGTACTATACTGTACATGTAATTAACTTCAGTAAGAACTTTGTTACTCTGCTTGCTTCAGTGCTTTGCAATTTTTATATTTATCTTATTGTGTTTTTATATATGAAAATCTTATTCTATGTCCCAAACCTACATAATTAAAACTTACTTGGGCTATTGAGCCCTTACATGTGATGTCACATGTAAGCTCAAAACTTACTTGGGCTTACGTGTGATGTCACACAGTGTTATGTTTGTGTCATAGTTGTATGCTTATGTGGTATACAGAAATACATTTGTTACATCACAACTATGCTTGGACTATACAATGTCATGATCATTCTCATGGTTACAACCCCAGATAAAATTCATTATTCATATCTGATGCGTAAACAATTTGGGTGTAGTATGGCTTGACCTTCAGCGTGATGACATCAGTACAACCTAAAATATATAAAATCTAACTCGGGTAAACATTATAAACCAGACGCAACATGACTGAACTCGGAGACCTTCAAAATACTGTATTGATCAAATTGGGAGCTGTTAATTTGAACCACTTCTTTAAAAGATCCAGTGTAGGTGATGACAATGATCATTTTATTTAGGGAGAAGTACACACAATCTAAATGATTTACAAGCAGAGTGTTGTCTTGTGTGACTGGCTTTATCTAGAAAGCCAATAGATAAAGGCAAAAGTCGCACAAGGGGGCATCAGCTTTAAGCTCAACAAGCCACAATATAGGACAAACAGTAGGAGATGCTTTTTCAGCCATAATATAGTATAATAAAACCAAGGAATTGCCTACCCACTGAAGTTGTAATGCCAAAACAATACGACAATTCAAAATTCAACTGGAAAAAGTCATTAGATGGTTGCCCTTAGGTAAATTTAGATAAATCCATGTACAGTCATCGATAATTGGAAACCTGGATGTAAAGTAATTAGTGGATTATGTTCTAGAAAAACAAGCTGTGGGAGAAAGAGGTTATGGCCTGCAAACAAGTCTTAAGAATTCTCCATACTCATTACAAGTGTTAAAAAATAGGAATGTTTCAAAAATATTTTTCCCATTGTAACTTGCTTAGCTAAATGAATTGTGGGGTTCAGTCCCTGAGCCCATTATGTGCCTCTGTAACCCTCTCCACTACTGCCCACGGAATGGGTATGGGGTGCATAATAAATGAACTAAACTAACTAAACCATTTTACACAATGATGCAATTCTCTCTTTGAGGGAGTAGAGGTGGTAGAGATAAGTCAGCCAAGCTTGGAGTGGAAGGACAATTGGAGGAGCTTGTGAAGCGAGCAGAAGAGGCACGCGTTGGTGTGTTCCAAGCATTAGGATCACGGTACTCCAAGCTGACAACTGCTCTGCACGATACAACACAACTCCATGAACGGGTTGGTTCTGCTCTTGAAGAGATTTCAAACCTCCATAACACTATAGAAGAAGAGGTAAAGTGAAAGAGGCTTTTATTTTTTGAAAGTAGAGAAAATGTACTACAGTTTTATTCTGTAATCTTTAATGGCAAATATAACTAAAAAATTATGCTGAACTCTTGATGTGCTTGTTGATATGTTTTGTAAATAATCTTTTGATAACACGTTTCTCAGTTAGTGAATGGCGTGAAAGGTAGCGTTGGCGAGTTTGGAGCATTGGTTCGGCGGTGGCGAGAAGTTCAGGTGGGACTTGAAGCTGCTGGTACTATCCTAAATATTCATACACTTTTTGATGAAGCTCACAATGCACAACTCAATTATGGATTCCTTACAACTGCCAAAAATTTGGCTCAGGTGAGATAAACCATTAGATGCTTAGAATCTTTAGTTAACATACTGCTGTGTACATAACTTTCTTAGGTTTCTTTATGGTATAATAGAAAACTTTATCATATATTGCTAAACACTCCTCCTCACACAGACTAATTGGGACCGATCCTTTTCCATTCCAACCATAATTCAATGCAGCGTCAGTGCTTGCAGGGGTGCCACGCTTGGCACCTCGCACTAGTACAAACCAGTCTTGTCTGAGTTGCAGACCTGAAAGAAATTTTAACTGTTTTGGCCAATACAATTTACAATACAGTATACAGTACTGTAATGTATTCTGATTAAGATTGAAATGTTTTCATAGGTGGAATTATTGTTGCGTGAGGCATCAGAGAAGGAGGTGGAAGGGGAGCTAGAAATAATAGTGACTCTACAAGAAGAATTACTCGTCCGAAGAACACAGCTGGCATATACTATTGGAGAGGTACGCAACTACTAACATGGTGCAACCCTAAATAAGTCTCGATTTATAGTTGAGTTTTGATTGTGATCTGCATTGAATGACTTACAAATCTTTTATGAAAACTCTTATTTTAAGACTTGTAAGGAATAAATTCAATGAACTAATGATATGCATTTTCCTAGACTTGATATCCTTTTGAGAGGATGGGGAGGACAGTTATGGGAGTGTTAAGAGTTACATCCTTAATAAGTACAGCTCTAAATTAAACCTTTGCAGTGGTCAAGATTTTCTCAGCCTAAAATATTTGTCTAGCATCCAACAGATGATACAAAAAAAAAATTTCTTGGAGATTTATCTATGTACAAATTAAATAGACATTTTACTCCCACAGCCTGATCTAATGCAGTTTCTTACTTTTTCCGCTTTTTAACCAATTTGTACTGCTCAAGAGTGTATTATTATGTCCATCTTCCTCAGTCACCTTTCTAACTCCTCCCTTGTTGTCTTGTCCCTCATTTAGAAAATGACTTTTTTTTTTTTAACTTTTTAATGTTACTTATCCATCTTTTCTTGTGGGTACCGCCCTTTTGTGTGATGATGATGCCACGTATGACAAGCCGGGTCAAGGCTGGCCTCAGGCCGCGCTCAGGGAGTAGAAGTACTCTCGAAACCCTCTCTAGATTTGCTCCAGGTATGATGATGTTTGTGTATTCAACATTTTTGTGTGTAATTTGTTTGGTAATATTCTTTCGATTTTAGATTTGGTGTGAAACCATTAAGTGGGACGACGAGCATTTAAATGATGGGTCTCGGTCAGTGACACTCTTGATTCACTCGACTGGTGACAAATCATCAGTGAATGGCCTTGCAAAGTTGCAAAACATGCTGGGAGCTTTCTACTTACTGGGTGAACTGCAACGAAGAATTACAGGACTTGGCAAGAATCTCATGAAACATTTCTTTGCGTGAGTAAAACAGGCCGTTGTTAAAAGCAATATTCCTTGAGAAAGTGGTTTTGAGAATCTTAAGTTCATCAGTTCCTGCAACTCCAGCTGTTTGTCTTGGTTTTTCTTTTACTTAAGATGGCTAATCACCACCACCCTTGTCATTACTATCCCCTCCACCACCACCACCACCAGGAAAATCTGTCAGAGTATCTTGTTTTGATGCTGTCACCTAGTGGCATATTGGTAATTAATGAGAGTACAACTTGGCAGTTCCTGTAATACCAGTAGTGTTTGGAAGGAGTTTCACTGTTTAAGAATGGATGTTCTAGAGGTTCATTCCAGGCTAGGTTTAATATTCTTTAATGTCGAGCACCAGTGTAAACCAATAACATTGTTTGAAAAGATCCCCGACATAGGTGGAGTTTGCCAAACTTATCAGTTTGGGTGTGGTTCTTGAACCAAGCTGTAACATTCTTTTAAGTTGTTTGCACTAGCTTAACCCAAGTCGGACTCAGGATTTCACATATTAAATGAAAAACATAAATATCAGCTTTAGCTCCCTTTTATGTATATATATTTTATTCCTGGCCAAGGAGGATTGACTGGATGCCAATACTTATCTGTTTGCTCCTGTAAATGGGTGCCTGATTGTTAACCAATTGATATGTATTAAGGAAAACTAGTGGGTAAGGCTTACCATGAACTTTGAGAAAGGAAAACTCTAAATCTAATAACAGGAGTCTATTGTTGTCTGTTCTTGTGCCCACCTGAATAGTGACTTCCTCTCCTCTTGATGATCTGCAAGAGGTACAGTAGTACCTCTATATAGTATGTAATTTTAAATTATATACATAGTATGAAATTTTGCTTGCTTTATTTCAGACCGATCATCAATTATGGTGCTGAAGTGAAAGTAGCAGAGCGCAGTGATGGGTATACACTTCGAGTTACCCAACCAAGTGGCCCTGTCAAGAAACCTCCAGCAACTATGGTGTTTTCGAACCTGCAGCAGGCATGTTAATGTACTCTAAATTATATATATATTCAATTCATTTTCCTTAGACAGTGATTAATGATTGAATTCTGTTGTATTTTCATGATTGAGGAATGTGATCCACAGCTTGATACTGTACTGGGTTCCTCTACAAGCTCAATTTTTTATTAATGAGAATAACCAGTGCACGAGAAGTTGTGGTGAATAACGTCAAGTGGAATGAGTTTGTCAAGAAGAATTAGTGTGTCATTTTATGCCTAATGAAATGGTGACCGTTTTGGTATGGATGTTTTACTAGATTGTGATGCTTCATAACGATTCTTCGTGAGGGGGATCGTATTCCAGGGACCTGCCCGAAACGCTACGCGTACTAGTGGCTGTACAAGAATGTAACAAATGTAGTATGTATGATAAAGTGAAGGAGTGAATGTTGTTTTTAGTACAGTGAAGTCTGCATCTGCAGCTCATGATCGAGGGACTTGGGATCAATCCCTGAACAGGACAGAAACTATTGGGCATGTTTTCATTTACGTGATATGACTGCTCACCTTAATTAAATATATACCTAGGAGTTAAGCAATTGTTGTAGGTTGCGTCCTGGAGAAGGTCAGTAATTGGCTTGGGGAGGACCTCCATAAGCCTAAATACAGGCTTCCTGTACTTAGGAAGTACAGGAAGCGTCACAAGTCACAAAAGTGAATCACAAGAGTGAATCAAGTGTCGCTAACAATGGGAAAAATTATTATTGACTGGGACCTGACCCATTAGTTTAAATAAAGGTTTTCATTAAATAATGCCTTTTGCCATATTTTTCTTTCTATACTGTACTGTATATTGTTAGTTTTGAAACAATTCTTACTGCAATGATAGAACACAAGCGTGCACATGTTTACACACACGTAATATATATATAAACAATACATTTTAAATATACTTTCGAGGTAAAGCATAGAAAAAATGATAAATTATTTTTTGCCTGCTCTTCTGGGTGCGAATTCATCACGTATAAGTGTCGTCTTACAAAACCTGGACATCTTTTCTCAATCGTGGCAGCTTGGTTTGCATTTATTAAACAGTTTATTAGCTCCAAAGTGCTGCTAGGTTGTCTACAGTATTAATACTCTTGAGTTGGGAAGTTTTGAAGCTTGTAAACCATTTAATAAATACAGCCTAAGCTGAGATGATCTAGGAAAGATGTATAGGTTTTGTAATCACCAGGATTCACACAAATGCTTAATGAATCCTAGTAGTTCAATATAAGCAGAATGTAGGTATACACTCCCCAGTCTTACTTACATTTCTGTTAATTTAGACTTTCCTTCTGTCATATTAAGATGCCTTCTCGTCCCATTACTTGATTAAATTTTTCTACTCGCAAATAATGAGATATTAAAAGGAAAATTTATGAAAATCTGAGTAATGAGAAGTCACACCATGATAGCACCAATGGTGTGGTGCCATGGACAGCTTTGGTAACACTAAGGCCCCTTCAGGTAAAGATTTACATATATGAACTGTATTGTATAGATTATAGTAAGACTACAAATGCAGTAAAACATTTCAAAATGTTTTACACAGATTGTGCCTCTAAATATTTCCTGTAATGGAAAGTTTTATTTTCAGGTGTTTCTAATGCTACATAGAACCTTACTCATTACCAAGGTTGAGACAGATGAGGAAAATGGGGAGGAAGTGTCACTAATGCAGCTGCTGGGTAAAGAGGTAAGCCAGTGTCAAGTGATCAGCATAAGTGTTGATGTAATCACTTGATTAGCTCTTGCAAGTATCTTGCAAACAGGATACAGAGGTAACCGAGTGTTCACAACTCATTAACAGGATATCAGGACTTCAGTTTTTATTCTATTGTTCTTTCTGTACAATTTGGGGTGTCTGTGATATGGAGTGAATGCTTTTATATACTGGACTTATTACCGCTGCTCTATAACTATCATGACATTTGTGAACAAAAGTAGATTTGATTATTCCAACCAAGTTTTTCAGGAGACATTGTATACAAATTGGTATTTCATATATCTTGTAGCTTTTTTGCGACCCTTTGCAGGTTAAATTATTATTAGGCACTTGATATTATTGAGTTACTCTTACAGATCGGTGAGGAGTTTACAGAATTGCTGATCAAGGAATGCTTAGCAGAAGCAGTACCATGTAATAGAGCACAGTTGGAAGAATTTGAAGTGGTAAAGCGGATAACTGAAGACTTCCAAAAGTTTCTTTGTGAAAAAGGTGAAGGTTTTTTCTGCCTTGGAGTATTGCATTTGTATTTGGTGCATTTATTCATACATTTCAACATTCCAGTGCAGTATTATGTAATAATTTAACTTTAAAACTGTGAATGGTTGCTGCTTTTACCGCTTTTGTCTCGAACACACTTAACTTGTTTACAACTTTCACTGCATGTGAGTATTTTCTTATTTCTCTTTCACTCGCTGTGTTTCACACTTCCACCAGTGCTTCCCTTGTTCTGCCGACTCTCGCCTGGAAAGAAACGTCTCTTGTTCACTTTCTTTATTCTCCTCGGTATCTAATTTGTTGTTATCTTATTAGCCTCAGCCCTTCTCTTTTCTAGTGTTGTTAGATAATGTTAGGTAATAAAGAGGAGTATAATTGCTGGTGTGTTGGTGCTTATTTAATCATGTTTCTGTATTGTATGAATAATATAATGACTGAACGAGTGATTGTTTTTTAAATATTGGTGACAATTTTTCAGTATACAGTAGTTATCTTGTTTATCTGAGCTGATACTATTCCACTCTATGAAAGTGCAGGATATGGGGTAATAATAATAGTTATATACAAACAGTAAAAGAATATATGAAAATTAGAATAAAATATTCAACATAACATATTTAGACAAGATTATACATGTCCTATTATAATACAAATTTGTGGGAGAATGTGCTTCTGTAACTGATATTAATGACATCATTTCCTCAGGGTTTTATGGAGCACAAGACAAGTCAATAATAGAATATGCTGCCAATGTTGATGTTGTCTTTAGCAACAAGGCGTGCGCGCACATACTGGAGCGGGCACGAGAGCTCATGAAGAGACCCATACATGATACTGTATGCATTACTCCAATAGAAACTAATGACTCCCTTATTATACAGGTAAGAACCTTGCATAATTTGGTTGAAGTATACTGGCAACTGTGCCACAGAATGACATACTGGCAACCGTGCCACAGACTAACACACTGGCAACCGTGCCACAGACTGACGCACTGGCAACCATGCCACAGACTGACGCACTGGCAACCGTGCCACAGACTGACGCACTGGCAACCGTGCCACAGACTGACGCACTGGCAACCGTGCCACACACTGACGCACTGGCAACAGTGCCACAGACTGACCAACTAATCACCTCATAAAAACTCGGTCCTTCCAAATACTATTTGGCATCACAGGGGACCGACGTATTATACTGAATATTCGGCATTTTAAATTGCTACTTCGTTCCAGGATGAGACTGGAAGAAAACTGGAGAAAAGCACGCTGAGACTGGAGAAGCTGCTTGCAGCAAAGACCTTCAATCTACCCAAGTGTCAAATTAGGTTAGTTTTACATCTTAACTCATAGTGAGGACAGAAAATGACATAAACTATTAATGTGATTATATCTGAAATGTTAACTCATTATCACGTAGCTGCCAAGGGAATGCATCGCTCTCATTTATCTACAAAGCCTGAAGTATATTCTTATTGTACAGTATTCATTCTTTTATATATATTTATAAATTATGAGCTTAGAACTAATTGTCTTGTTTTTCCTAAATCAGTGCATCCATTTGTGAGCTGATAGAACTAATATATGAAACAATGGAAGAAGCTTGCAACAGTTCACCCCAGTATGCCGGAAGACTGTTCTATACTGTGCGCAACATCCTGACACTCTACTGCCATGTTGTGCCCACAGCCCACGCGCACACACTTGCAACACTCCCACTACAAGCTGGTATACTCAAGTTCAATTTAGTTGAGCTAATAAGATGTTACTGATTCTAAATGTTGACGTTAAGAATAAATATGCTGGGGTGCCAAAGGCAGATATTTCTTGTAATTGCTCTAGCTTATGGTTTTGCAATTTAACTTGAAGTAAAATCCTGTATTTTGCCTTGTAAAATATTAGCGTCTATTATACTGCTTGCTATTACTACAGCAGCTAGTTATTCTGCCTTTGGTGACTTGTAAAGAGAAAGCAAGGATGTTTAACATTTGTTCTGCATTTCTGTACCTTAGTGGAAGCAAGTGGCAACTGCTGAACATTTTCAATGCACAAGTAACACGTGGATTTCATTGACAAATGTCTCAGGATTTTAATAGCCTTTGTAACACTTTGAAAATTGTTTAAATGTCTAGAGAGCTTTCAACATATAGACCATCTCTCACTAATGGAGAGGATGCTAAATGTAGGCGTCCCCCTCCACTCCAGCAAGGTCTATGGAAGAAGCTACATGTAGCCACCTCCCCATTAGTGCCTGGGTAAGATACTACATGTAGTCACCACCCCATCAATGTGTGGGGAAGCTGCCACACATGGGCACACACAATGATATGGGGGAGTTCCTGAAAGGGAGCACACCTGGAAAAGTTATCAGTAAATAATGCAATTATCCAATCTTGTTATCTTGTGCTTGTTATCTTGTATCTTGTGCTTATCTCTCCTGGAAGACTTGGTCAGTTATCATTTGTGGAGCAGAGAATTCCAGTTGTTTTTAGTGGCAATGCTTGGTTTTTATTCTTCATTATAAAAGATGCAATATATTGAATTCGAGTCACTTGTTGGAAACTAACATTTGTTTAGATCTACAATATATCATTGGTTGAACAGAGCACAAAGTGTAGATGTGGTATGTTTGAGTCAAGGATAAAACAAGCACACACAAGTGACTTTGTGGTGGTAAGTACAAAAGTCCATAAGGAAGAACCGACCATTATATTTAAGTGGTCATTTGTCCTTGTTGATTGAAATACGTTTAGATAAGGATGTCTTGTGTTTAAAACAAATAAGCATAACTTTAATTTACATTATTTTTGCTCCATCTATTTTTCATATCATTTACCATCGGACAGCTTAGCTGAATATAAGGGACAATTTGTTTCTTCTAATGTTGTTTTTATTCTGGTCAGCGGTTGTCCACAACAACAGCATGTATCTGGCTCATCACTCGCTCCTCCTGGGCCACCAGTACAAGAACCGACTGCCAGTGGCACTCCGAGACAACACAATTATCACGGTTGACCTGTCACAACAGCTTCGAAAGATGGCTACCACCACATTCTTGAAGGCTATGCAGGGACACAGAGTAGCTCTTATTGATTCACTCAGAGATTCTGCTGGTTAGTTTTCAGTTGTGTGAAGTCTAATGTCTAAGCAACAGATAATAATATTAAGTTATTGGGCACTTTATTTTGTTCTCAGAGTAACTGGAAGCATGTCATTCAAATGTTTAAAGTTGGTTTTAAATTTACAAATTATAATCCAAATATTGAATATTTATCTGGAAAATGATCATTGGTTTGTATCCTTGAAGTAGCCTACATATTTAGCAGTGTTGTGTTGCTTAAAATTATTATTAAAATGGATATAGACAATTACTGTATAATTTGAAAGTAATGCATATAATAAATGTAATTACTTCATTGACTTGAACTGGTTGGTACAATGATGGCCTAGCTTCTTGCAGGTCATCTTGGGATCTCCAAAGATCCAAGTGGTTAGCCACAGTTCCTTCACTCTCCTCCTATCCTGTCCTCAGGTTCCTTCCAAGTGCTGTGTAGCCATACAGGCTGAGAGCCATCACCTCATCCCTTACTTCATTACAGGATTTGAGAATATTGGGTGCAACACTAGTGGAGTGAACAAGGCACAGCAGGGAATGCGACAGGTCCTTCACCAGCTGCAGTTGCTTCACAGGGTCTGGCAGAATGTTCTTCCCCATGATGTGTATACTAAAGCCATCGGTACTCTACATTTAGATTGCTTTGATTCTTTCCATATTTAATGTAATTTTATGACTGTTGATAAGATAGAGGAAATAATGTAGATAGTTTATAATTAACTTTACTGTTTATGAATTTGTATTACTCAACTCGGTTGACTGTTATATAAATGGCACTTTGGCAGTTACACTAGCAAGTCAACCTATAAACTTTTGTACACAAGTTCACCCCCCCACCCCCAACCTACTTCATTCTGAATCTTAGCCGACTCCTTATGTGTAGGTGAATATTTAGTAAGGAAAAGTATTTACTATAGTTTTGTCATCTCATTAACATACAATTATTGGTATGCATTGTATTAAACTGTATTTTTAGAGTAATAATTTGCAGTGGAATTGTAAAAAGTGATGCCATAAATTGAATATCCACTGAGCTAGTTATAAGAAAGTATCATGGAATTTAATAGTGGAATTTCCTGCTTTAATCGTGTGTGTTTGGCAGGCACATTGGTGGGGTCTGTGGTGGAGGAAGTGGTGGTGCGAGTAGTGGGTTTGGAGGACATATCGGCTGATGCTGCTCTTGCTCTCATTACTCTGCTCAATCTGTTGAAAGATAATATACCACCTCTCTTCCAGGTAAGAACCATCTTCTGTTTCACAGCTTATGATACAGTTAGTGTTCGGTAGTCATCCCAGTTTGGTGCCATCTTTTGTGTTTATACAGTGTTTAAGGTGTCATTTGTATTTTTTGTTTAGTCTACAAAAGTACACATTGATCCCTAATGTTGTTATTTGGTAAGTGATGTAGACATTCTTTGTGACATTGACTTTACGTAGTAGTAGGCATCCGTCAATCCCGTGGGGTTATGGAGTTGTGCCCTGGGTGTCTAGTTGGGAGGTCTCAACCGCTGTCAGACGCACCCGCTTCGGCATTTATCTGCGCTCGCTGCAGTCGGGACTGTCATTCTCGGATTGGCCTTCACAGCCACAGCATCCAACCAGACATTGACTCGTACATTACAAAAAGCATACATACTTTTTATATGCATATATTGATTATCAAAGCAGTTTCTCCATGTTTGTATTAAATTTCATTGCAAGATGAAATTAATTAAGATGTAAGCTCTATACAATGAGAACTCATGTTCTTAATGTATAGAGAACTACAAAGAAAAGTTTCTCTAAAGTTGAAATCACAAGATCAGCTATAAAGGTGCATGATCAGTCTGCATTATAATATATTGTTTCAAAGAATTTACTGAAATTTTTCCCCTTGTTGATTAATAATTGAAATCTTGCATTTGTATTAAAATATTTGATTTCTATATATGTATTAACATTCTCGAGTTTGCATCTGTAGATTAACTTTCTAATAGTAGAATTGGACTTATTAGTCTTAACTCGTGTGTATTTAATTTTGAAGATTACTCTCTTATTTGGAGTCTGTCTAGAATGATATCCAAGACATTTTAAGTGTTGTGCAACACAGTCAGTGCTAAATAGTCTTCCAGTCTTGGTGCCTCCATAATAAGACTTTTGGAGTCTTATTGTGAAGCTTTTTTGTCGATTTCTTTGTGTAGTCGGAATTACTCTGCATTATTTTCATAGATTTTGCAGTTACTGCAACATGAAACCTGATGGTTCGTAGCAATTTATATATTTTATGGTAATTTGACTAAATTTACTAGTTGTTTATTTCCTTCATAATAATGTTGTAGCAATTACTTACCTGTCTCTCTTCTTTCTAAATACTGTACTAAATTTTCTTTTTTTCTTTTTAATGTTGTTATTGTTTGAACTCCAATGAATTCTTATACAGTATATTGGAACCTTCATTCGACAAATCTCATTTTGGTGAATCTCCGGTTGCAACGTGCACTTTCCAAGCTGGATTTACTCGAGTGATTCAATGAACAGAGAGTTCAGCAAAGTGGAGGGGGAGGGGTAGGAAGGGGGTATGCAGATTGTCTTAGGATATTGGGCCAGACTGGTGGTAAGCTGGTCATTGTATAACGAGTTGAAATTGAAGTTTCTCTCGGTAAATTTAACTCGTAAAGAATAGAAATTATTAGGGCATGAATGGTAACAATGTGGCTCCGATTACAATTTTAACGATTTTTGTAGATGGATGCAACATTATAAGAGAAGGTTGGGATGTTGGGAAAGCCATTGAGCATATTTAAAATCAAATTATATTGTTTTCATTTCTAGTCACAGATGGCTTAAACTAATTCCTCACTCCAACCAATGTGTGTTGGTCCCATATAGTTGGCTGTATCGAGGTTGCACTGTAATTAGTTTTGACTTTATTTTCATCAGATTTTTTAATATTTATGCAATATGGCATTTATTTGGTTTAGAATCGATAAGTGTATTTTTTATATGCTTTTTTTTTTTTTTACTATTTGTTTCATATTATTCTTGCTTAAATGCTACATTTATACTTAAATATATAGTTCTTCAGCAATTTTTTTTTCAACTATTGGGTAGCTATGTTGGGTCGTGATGGTGTAAAGATACTGTAGATGTAATATTGTTGGAACTACAAACTTACTACTGTACTATTTTGTATAAACTATAGAAAATAAAGTGAGAGGACAGTTTTATTAGTAAAATATAATTTCCCTTCTTTTCATAGGTGGAGGGTGATGCAAGAACCAGTCCAGGAGATGTAATTCGACGAGTGCGGTTGTGGGGGAAATTCTGCGAGCTAATAGTCATTTTAGGAGCTAGTCTGCGGGATATTTTAGATCGTTGGGCTGATGGTAAAGGTCCATTGGCACAAGAGTTCACTCCAGACGAAGCCAAGCAGCTGATCAGGGCTCTGTTTCAAAACACAGATCGCAGAGCTCAGGTTCTCGCTCGTATAAAATGATTATCACATATTCTCTAAATATGGATTCCACATTTTGTAAGTTCTTTCTTTAATAATAAATATTTTCACATTTTTTAATGTTTATTAATTCACTTTATTTTCTGACTCATTAACACTTGCTAAATACTATCTTATAAGAATAATCATTTTTTATATGATGGTTAATTCTGTGTATTGTTTGTTAGGATAATTATCAACATGGGTTTTATAATTGACTTGGTAGGTAACTAAGTTAATGTATTGACAATATAATTTAAATCCACTACTTGCTCTTCCTAAATGCATATGCACAATAGTTTGTATTTTTTTAATGCCAAAAACATAACCCATGTGGACAATAATTTGTGCCTTTTCCAGACCTGTGATAACTTTTTTAGGTTGAATGATGGAAAATATTGCTTGTATACATATGTAAGTGAATAAATAAATAAGGTAAAAAATTGATATTCCTCATTATTCAATTATAAATATATTTAAAATAAAATAAAACTAAGACACATAATGGTGTGAATGTATTATTGAATGTAAGGGTGATGCAAAAGGGGTGCAAATTCTTAACCAGAAATCTGTGCCGTAACACGCCTCGATACATATACAGTACTGGTACTTATTATCCACTTTTTAGTCATTTCGCTCTTATAGTCGATAAGGCAGATGGAGTTAAAATAGGCTTTCACTGCAATAATCGACCAGCGCCTAGATGCTTAGTAAGAATGACTACATCTTGTCATGTTCAACAAGGTCCTCTGGACTTCAAAACTAGTGTCAAAAAGGCCAATAATGCCTCCTTCAGATCCCACATTAGCACTTATTTCTAAAAATATTTTTTTTATATTAAAGTACAGTGTGAACTCTTATCCAGACAAATGGGTACTATAGGTTGTCTGAATTGGTAAATATCCAGTTAAATGAAGAGAGAGGGCGGCTTGGTAAATTAAATGGTCCAGGAGTTTCAGAAATCTTCCTATACGATCATGTTTTCCGCAAGTTTCAGGAATTTTAATTGTTGAGTAGGAAGAAGGTGAATGTTTATCATCAGAGTTCATGGCCTTGTTCCAGCAACCTAAAAAGCTTATAGTGCAGAGAAAAGTGAATGTTGTGTTCCTAGGATTCATGATAATCTTGATGGAAAATTATTATGTAATGTTGAAATGTCATTTGATGCACCTAGTAAATACAGTATTATAAACTGTACTGAGTGACTAAATAAAAATTTAATATCAGTACATGGAAATTTTTTAGCTATACAATATAAGTTTTTCTAGAAGGAACAAAAAGTGGCTTCCTGAAAATAACTCGCTGAGATTGCCATGCCATGTTGTGTCAGCCACAGAAGTCTAATATGGCTTACTGGGGATCAGAGCCTGAACCTGGCCCCCCCCTCCCCTCTCTGAGGGGCAGGGAGATGGGAATTGTTACAATCACCTTTACCAAGAAAATGTCCAGAAAGATGGCAAAGTAACACAGACAACTGTAATGTTCAGACAAAAAATGTAGCACTGAGACAGCCAAATAACTCTTCAAACGATTCACTCACAAACAAGGCCACACTCCCCAGAGTTATGGATATAAACATCACTGGGAGCTTCTGGCTTCAATTTTCAAATATTCTATTGCTGAAGTCTATGATTCCAAACCTCCCCGAGTCACTGGCTGTAATGAGTCTCACTTTTCAAGATAAGTGTAGGCCTTCCTTTGGACACTGTCCTTTGGGGGCCATTTGCTTGTCATTCCTGACTGGTATTTGCTTCACAAACATGTTTTTCAAACCTCACTTGTAGCATTGACTTGGTTTATTCTTGCCTCAAGCTGCATGTATTTAGGGCAGTCCCTTCCCCTAAGGGCTTGTTTTGCCATTGCCTCTGCCCTGGTAGATTTGGGAGTTCGCCCCTGACAAGCTATACTACTGTGTAGGATGCCTCATCCTGGGTGTCTTTGACTTCTCTTTGAGGCCCCGTTGGGTCCATGATGTTCACAATTCTATGGCTTTGTTGTGTTGTCTAGCATATCATGGGGTGATATTTGGACTCTGGAATTTCGGAGTTCTAACTGGGTTCTGATGGCTCATTACCTGGTCAATTTCTTTCGTACCTGTTGTGCTTCTGTTGCCCTGAGTTGGGTTTCCCATCCCAACATCTTGTTTTCATGAGTGTTACTTTTGTGCTTCTTCCCTGGTACATCTTATGTTTCTATTGTACTCTCTTGCAAATTAGCTTCAGGGAGCCATTGTTCCGCCCCCCTTCAGAAAACCAGCAATGCTTGTAATGAAAGGCCTCATTCTAATAGGAACTCAGTGGCTCCCTGATTCTATCACATGCACCGGTTAATGGTCTTTCAGCTCCAGACTAAGGCCAAGATGGTGTGGAAGCTGGGAGTTCCTGGTGATGCTGCCACCTGTTGGTAGCCAACCATAACTAAGGAGGTTCCGTCTATTTTCTGAGTGAATCATTTGGATCTTTCGGAAATTCGTTTTCTCTGAACCTTGCAGTTGTCTGTATTTACTTTGCTGACTTTCTAGATGTTTTGTCTGCGAGGAGGATCAGAACATTCCCCTGCTCCCTGTGTCTCTGTGAGGGGTGCCAGGCTCTGGCTCTGGTCTTCAGTAGGCCATACAGGACTCCTATTGTTGATATGACTCAATAGTGGGGAGCTATCTCGACTAGCTACCAGAAAGAGGTGTTTCATTACATTCAACGCTTTTTTTTTTAGCTTCAGTACAGTAGCTCGGGTCATATATTCTTTGCAGACATATCTTGCTAAAATCTGTATTACCTTTAGCAAACATCTGCTTCATCACTGCTACTACTGTGATACAAAATATAACCAGGTACAGTATCATGTATCGAACAACAATATTCTTGATTTCTTGATAATATTTTGGCAATTGGTACAACCAACAGGGACATTTTCTTTGCCACTGTTGGTTATAGAATTTTGGGATTAATGGTTGTGCTTGTGTGTGAACCATTAATTAATCTGCTATGATAGATGTTAAGGAAATACAAATGAACACTGATAAACTCTTCTTTATTATTAGAGTCCCTGAAAGTAACAAAAATATAGGTGTAAGTAAATTTGACATGAGAAACCTTGGCCTTAAGAGACCTAGAGTGGAGGAGTTCTGTGATTTGTTTTCGAGGTTTTCTCCCCGGTGGCAAAAATGGAACCTTCCTAGCACGCTAAATTATGTTGTACACAAACCAATAACTGTATGAAGAGTCTTGGCTAATAATTATGAGATTCAAAATAGATTTATTATTTAAGCCTAAACAAAGTGTCAACACTACTGTTTTATTCTTGGTACAGTATCTCTTAATAAATGGTTAAGGCTAACATTCTATCTTATGTTTTAAGAGTAAATGTTTTGTGGGTAATGTTTAAGAAGTGTCCAAACTTCAAAATATACAATTGATTCATTTCTAGCTTCAAAATGACAACAACTGAGACCTGTATAAGAATGTTAACCCTGTTCTAGGCTCATATTTTCTATAGTAATAAGTACTGTATATCCCATGTCACCTTCTGACATGGCAGAACATAACACATTCCAACCATTTACCATGTGACAACACCTGTTCAATGGAACAACATTCCTAAATTTTTCTTTATGAGCCACTATCTTTAGAGGTCTCAGTGGGGGGACAGGAAGCTGGCAGCTTGTCAAAGGTAAACCTCCCCCTTGTTTCTGAGGACTTTCTCCAACTGAGTTTTTAAACTTAATTAATGTCTTGGCATTTATGTCTTTAGTGGGTAAGCAGTTCCATGGGTTTATAACCCTATGGATGAAAAAGCATCTCCTATTTTCAGCGCTACATTGTGGCATGTTGAGCTTGAAACTGTTGTCACTTGTATGTGTTACATTTGATTCAAAGCTTGTGTGATCATTTTGGATAGTGAAAGCAAAATGCACTTGCTACAGAAATATAATACAAATATATACAGCCAGAGGTTCCATGATAACCCATTTGGGTGGATGGGATGCCAACTCCAACCATATTACATGCTGTCCGGTGTGTGTGTCCCACGAAGACGAGAATAGAAATATGCTGTACTTGAAAAACTAGTTTCCCCCATAGAACCCAGCCCAAGAGCAAGATTACCTGTAATGTAGTCCAATGTAGCATAGCTTACTCTTCAGGCACCTCCACCTCCTTGTTGTCAATGGCAGCATGTATTTCTTCTGGTGTCTGGCCATCTATGGTGCAACCAATGCTTCTGGCCGTGCCCAGGATTTCCTTTATGGTGCCACATAGAGTCCTGGCTTGGGAGCGGGGCCTCATGATGCGAGCAGTGTTGATCACTTCCTCCAGACTGATATTCCCATTATGTTTAACATGCTTAACCTGTGGAGAGGTTGGACACAAGTTTAGTAAGGCTCATCACTACTTATATTTGTGAATAACAGGAGCAGTCAACTGAATAGTACAGTAGTGTAATATACATATTTATGGATAAATACTTTGATTTTATTTCCAGAATTATTAGAATTTAATTAATTATTGTGCACCTAATTGTAATTTACATAAATTATTAAATATGCTGAAAATCATATTTCAATTACTTTTTTCCTGGAGCAGTTGATAATCCTGCCACTACAAAATACAGTATAAAATTAGAAGAAACTGTTTACGAACCTTCTTTCTGTCTCTGGGTGGTTCCTTGAGGGCACGGATGAGAAGAGCTGCAGCCGAGGGCACCACCTCTACCTGCGCCTGGCGGTTCTGGATAGTGAGCTGCACTGTCACCTGCAACACAAACCATGCTCAGCACCAACACAATACTAGTTACTGTGCTAAGAATCAACATACTCTGCTAAACATACTGAACTGAAACATACAACATACATCCAAGGTTTGCAATTAGATTAGTAAAGTGGGTAAGGGAACACCATTTAAATTAAAGAGGTAGGACAAGGGAACGTGATTTGAGAGGCCTCAGCAATGAAGACAGGTTGAGCAAACTCAGCCTCATAATCTTAGAAGAAAGAAGAAACAGAGGGGATATGATAACTAGTACGTACAAGATATTGACGGAATTATAAAGTGGATAAAGGAAGCCCATTTAAATTAAGAGGTAGGACAAGGGATCATTTGGGGAAAGCTGAACATGCAATTGAGATTATTGAGCCGAAGAGATGTAAGGAAGTTCTTGTTCCCTTTATGGGTGGTCTGCAAGTAGAAGGCATTGAAGAGGTTGTTGAAGCCAATTCCATTCACATCTTGTAAAAAGAAATATGACGAAAATGTTAATGATGAGAGGGTTAATTTGTGTGCCAGGTGTAAATGGCAAGCAGGCAGTGCATAGAGCTAGATCTCACCCCCCTGTAGTCACTTGATAAGTAAGCATTGACCTAACTGTTAACACTGTGCTGTGTCAAAACATATTGTTCAAAGAATCATCACACAAGTTGCTGTGTTAATCCACACTTTTCCAATCATCGATGCCAGCAGCATGAACATTGCTGATCATCAACAGCAGTAAGGTACATCACACACTATTCAAAGTATCACCAAAAAATCTTTCATTCATGTGGAATGAATTATTATATTAAGATTTCCCTTTCATGTGTTCAGTTTCATTCTTAAATTCCGACCTGACCAGCACGATGGAGCTGAAGAGTGCTGGTGTAATGCTCAACAGGTAGTGTTGGAGGGTACTGGTCTGCCTAAAATATATGATTTTTATGGAATTGACCATTATTGAAACTTTGCATATAATAATGCATTTATCAGCCTAAGAGATAAGCTATGAATACAATAAAATGAAGAAAAAACATAGGAAGCATTAGTTTAGGCCCCCAGGATTTTCTTTGTTGATTTGATAACAAATATACTGATAATACCTTGAGGCCCTTCCAGGCTGTGGTGGCCTTGCAGATGTCTTCACCAACTTTCTTGGGGGAGAGCCCTAAGGGACCCACCTTGGGGGCCAGGGAGGATGTGGCGCCCACCTCGCCTCCCACAGCTCGCAGCTTCACTGCTCAACACAAGTTAACAAGCTGATGTAACCACTTCTTATATAGATTTATTGTCATTTTAATTAATATAACCCACATCATAAATCACCACTGACATAATTTATCCTTCCACATCATCAACCAATGTCATTTCATCATTTTGTCATCCAGTTTCATCATCACTGTCAACCACTGTTATCACTACTATCATTACCCATTATCATCACCACTCTTATCTGTCATTATTATGAACACACATCAACCAGTTATTGTTACTAGCATGAACACCTTCATCAACAACACCCAACCACAAAACTGAGCTCCCAGAGCCTACACGAGGCTGAGAGAGGACTTCTTGAGCCCCCCAAGAGCCCCAGCTACACTTGTGGCACTCTCCTCAAGTGAGTCTCCTGCCTCTGGGCTGGGTGCTCTTTAAAGTTATCCGTTTACTTAGGCATCCCAGTGATGCTCACTAGCTATACACAGGTTGCTGTTGGAGCTTCTGCCACTGCTAGTTTGCTATCTTCAGTATGGACAGCTTGTACACAAGCTACAGGTATTCTGGAAGCTCCCCCCCCCAGCTTATACACAGGCTACAGGTGTTCAGCCCCCTCTCCCTCCCCAGCTTGTACACAGGTTACAGGTGTCAAGCCCCTCTCCCTCCCCAGCTTGTACACAGGCTACAGGTGTCAAGCCCCTCTCCCTCCCCAGCTTGTACACAGGCTACAGATGTTCAGCCCTCCCTCCCTCCCCAGCTTGTACACAGGCCACAGGTGTTCAGCCCCCAGCACCTCGGCGAAGTTGCTCTGGACTTAATCTGGGTGATCTACACATTTCTTAAAGCCGAAATAGTCTAAACTGCTCATCACAACTCTTCGTGTCATAAAATACTAAACGACCTCCAAAGATGGACAATTTTGATTATGGAGACAGCTGTGAAGGGTTCAATGAGGACCTTCAAAGTATGCCGTTCTCAGTATAGACCAACAGGTCTATACTATACGTTCAACAGGTCTAAAATAGACCTGTTGTCTGTTACAGTTCACTGGAGGAAGCTGCAGCTCCTGGATGAACTTTCTCAGTTTTGTATTTGCCTTTATTAGCCTATTGCCCATTGTCAGAACAACTTAGCCCAAGTATGTTACCCTACAAGGACATAGATACATAGGAATGCAGTTCCTTTTTTTATTGCTGGGCAACATTTGGTGGTTGAAGTTAGGCCTAACGTGTGTCGTATCATTAATAAACGGCGGGTTTGGTGGCTACATTAACATTTTTTGTTTGTTAATAAGGGCTGCCTGTTAAACTGAAACGGTCCGGCTTCAAACGCTGTGCGTATTAGTGGCTTTACAAGATTGTAAATACTATGCTATGTATTCTCACAAACCCAATGTACCTTCTTGTATATAAATAAATTAATAAATAAATAAATAAATAAAATAAATATTTGCTCTTTCTTGACGAGGACGGACAAGAGGTTTGGGTTCGTTTCCCTCCACCTGCAGCCACATGCGACCAAAAGACATGAACTAAGAAATGCACAGAGACCTGAAAGCTGCAGTATTAAAAGTTATGAAAAGTTCTGTAATAATAGGTATTTGTATGGTCAGCACAGTAACCGGACCAGGCAATGTGATGTAGTAATTGCGCGAATTCGCCTTGGCTATAGACACATCTGGCAGGTTAGTGAGGCTGAGCCACTACCAGAATATTCAGATTGTAAACTCTGTGATAAACCTTTAATGCATTCACTAGAACACTATATTGATGAATGTGAAACCGTAAAGGACTTTAGACCTCCTGGCCTATTGTACCACCAACTGTGTAACTATTTTATTGACTCAGGTGTTCTGGACGACATCCTAACAATTTACCCAAAATTTGCTTGTCCATTTTAAAGAATGAAGAACAATTTCTACTTATATTCTAAGCTGCATCACTTATGAACCCATCCCTGCCCTTGTGTGGCAGTGCACAATAGAAAGTTGTTTTCACATATCCACACATTAAAACATTGATTGTAACCGTGATATATATGTGCTTCAGCCTACAGTTTAGACCTATTGTCTTATGTATGACCCTCTGTCCTGCGTGACAGTGAATACTAGCATTAACCTCAATTTAATAAGACTATCGAAATCCTCAGATTAGGCAAAATTGTAATTAATTTTGTCAATAAAGATGTTAATAATAAATATCCAAATAAATCACCTCAGAACCATACATTTTAATTCTCGTGATTTCTCGTCTCTAACGTATCATTTTCTGCTGCAAATATTTGGTGATAGTGTACATAAAATTATAATGGGCTGGAAAAGGCCAGTATGGGAACAGTTGATGAAAAATGTCAGTTTTGGCCGAGATACGAGTGTGAGAAGACCTCAGTCCTCACTACAGCCTGAGTACACCTGGATGTACCTGTAGGAGAATTCGAGAGTTCTCCCCCCAAGCCCCGGGAGTACCATACCATATAACATTCCAACAGCACCTTCATTACTTCCATATCAATTGAAGATAGCTGTAATTATTGATACTCTACGATATCAGTTGGTAAGTACATTGCTCTAGTATTTGTCTATATCAATATAAATGTTGTGATAATGTTTAAACATGTGACCATTAGAGTGCAAGACCAGTAGTTATACATAGTACATACCAATTTCTTCAGCACTGTGTTACATAAAGATGCATACATGCATCTTACTGATGCATACATGCATGTAAGATGCATACATGCACTTACCCATTGTATCACTCTAAATGACCCCGGCCACCCTATGAGGCTATCCCTAAAACAGGCAATCATCATGCAAAATTGCGTCTGGCTTCCAAACTTGGACAGATATAAACAATAGACTTTTCCCACTTATAGATAGCTGGGGTACCCGGCGGTGCTCGGGTATATGTTTGTCTGGCTCTCATTCTTTCCTTTCATCGTTGATTCAACGTCAATAACTGACGAAAAATCTGTTGGTAAACACTTTATACAAACAAATATACATTTCAGACTTAATAGGAGTCATTGGGTGTCGAATAGCCTCACGTAGGCAGTGTAAAGCGCCCTAAAAGCCTCCTCACTTAGGTTTCTGAATGATATTCTAATTTTTGCCAGTGTAGAGTACGCTGCTGTCGATATCCTATTTATATGTGCCTCAGGAGTTAAATTAGGTGTTACGTCTACGCCCAGGTTTCTTTCTCGTCACAGGTAGGCAGTTCCCCTTCATTGTGTACTGTCACACACACACAATGTGTGTACTCACCTATTTGTGAGTACACACATTGTGTGTGTGTGGGGCATACACAGGTGTGTGTGTGTGGGAGACATACACAGGTGTGTGGGAGACATACACAGGAGTGTGTGAGAGACATACACAGGTGTGTGTGTGTGTGTGTGTGTGTGTGTGTGTGTGTGTGTGTGTGGGAGCCATACACACACATACAGAGCACCACCAACCCCCCCTCCCGCCCCATGGGGTCCCACTAAATATAACCCATGAGAGAGGACCCACGCGCCCATCACCCACCAATATCACGCGTGGCGTAACTAACACCTCTTGCAAGATCTTACAAAAAAACATTTTGTTTCAAACGTATTTCCTGCTAGTAAACTAGTATTACATACTAAATTATTGATACCATGCACACCACTTGGCTTCTTCCATCACTAAAATTGTTCAAACAATAACAGGCAGCTTATCTCTACTTGACCGGGAAATCCAGGTATATAGGATTCGAACTGGGAAAAGGACTGGGGGTCAACCATAATACAAGCACTTCTTTTCTTCATTAACAACTAACACAGACCAGCAGGAAACCCATTTTACTCTTATTGTGAGATCACTGGCGCCAACATTACACATACTCCACAAACTCTGCTTCCCGGTAAAACAGCACTACAGTTCCTTTACATTATAACACACATGAAACAACTGTTGATTTTCAATTAACTACTCACCAACTTTAATTTCGGTGGGATCGAACTTGGGCGGCATCTTTGCGTTACGGAAGGCCCAGAGAACGTGTAACCACAGCCAGAGCTGGTCTGAGAAAGGCAGGGCGGAGGCTGCCAAGCCCTGGTGGCATCCATCGTGGGAGACGGAGAAGGTGGGGGGGGGGTGTGGTGGGGGTGGACTTATAGTGAACAGTCACACTAAAGGTAAAGGTGGGAAGAGAGTTAAGGTGTTTGGGTGGATGGCAGTCAGTTGAAGAACATTGAACAGAACTGTGTGAGAGTGAATCAGGTACATCGTATATGTGTTTTAGTATAGCCAAAAGAATGGGTTTTTGTTTTTGTTTCAACGATGTGGTTCAAGTTGTATGTTTGACTGTGACATCCCTGATTGGTTAATTATTAGTGAAGGTCGAAAGGTCGAGTGTAATCCCCTCTATTATAATTGCCTCAACTATGTTGGTTCAGCGCGAACATCAGCCGGAAGGAACATTTAATACGTTTAACTTCAACAATTGGGGCATTGACTAAGACAAAATAAACTATGAGTTATCAAGCATTCTCTGGGAAACAGCACTGAACCCTTAAATTCCAACACAATATACAATATGTAGGGATAGTAAATACTAATGCATATAAAGTAAACACTAACGTCCCTCAGGGGAACATGATAAAAAAGCGCGAACGTAAGTACAGCCGGAAGGAACATTTAATACGTTTGTTTTCTCTACGTTCCCTTACTATCCTCTTCTTATTCCTATTACTATCTTCTTCTCATTCGGTGGTTATAATAGGAGCTGCCTCGGATGGACCAATAAGCCCTCTGCAGTTCTTATCCCCTCTACTACACTTTGCTCCTCACCTTTCTCTAGCCTATTTATTGCCTGCATCTACTTCCTCATCACCACGGGAGACATCTCCCGTCACGCAGGGTGCAGTCGCACCTCCACAGATCTCCAGTATCAGCTCTTGATACTGGTAATGGCTCAAAAGGGCCACCACTTACGGGCTATTCATGCCCGTGCCACCTTTTGGGTGGCTTAATCTTCATCAATCAATCAATTCCTCATCACAATCGACTTGAGAATGGTCCAGGACGGAGCGAAACGTCGTCGTCCCTTCACCTTCTAGTGTGTGGTCTGGTCATGATAAAAAAGTTCAACGCTGACGGTTATGCTGACGAAGGAAGATCACAGAAACTCTCGTGTTTCTTCGAAAGCAGTAAACTTTGACAAAAATCAAGAATATTGAGCCAAATTAAATATTGTTACTTTTTTTACCACTACAGGTGATAAAATTGAACAAAAGAGAACACTTAAAGTTACTTGTGACTGTATTGCCTCTATATATGTTGCGATATTTATTGTGAACAATTATTAGTCTACAATATGTGTGAGATTTCCATCGATTGTTCAGTTAATAATAATTTAGGTGCTTTAACTGTGTCAATGCATGTATTATACTCTCTGTATTCACTCTATTTCAGCCATCTCTCTTGCTCTGAAGGGGGAAGTGAGTTATCAGAATTCGGCTCAAATATCACGCTCAGGAGTCAAATTTCCGACATTTTAGATATTTTGAAAACCGCAGGGAATTTTGGGCAAAATATGACCCATCGCCGTTTTCAGTAATTGGCATATTTTCGGTGTAAAAAGTAGTAATTTGAAAATGAACATAGGTGCAGAGAGTCAGAATTCGGCTCAAAAATTACGCCCAGGAGTCAAATTTCCGACATTTCAGATATTTTGAAAACTGCAGGGGGGGTTTGGGCAAAATATGACCCATCGCCGTTTTCAGTAATTGGCATATTTTCGGTATAAAAAGTCGTAATTTGAAAATGAAAATAGGTGCAGAGAGTCAGAATTCGGCTCAAAAATCACGCTCAGGAGTCAAATTTAGGACATTTCAGATATTTTGAAAACTGCAGGGGGGTTTGGGCAAAATAAGACCCATCGCCGTTTTCAGTAATTGGCATATTTTCGGTGTAAAAAGTAGTAATTTGAAAATGAAAATAGGTGCAGAGAGTCAGAATTCGCCTCAAAAATCACACTTAGGAGTCAAATTTCGGACATTTCAGATATTTTGAAAACTGCAGGGGGGTTTGGGCAAAATATGACCCATTCGCCGTTTTCAGTAATTGGCATATTTTCGGTATAAAAAGTAGTAATTTGAAAATGAAAATAGGTGCAGAGAGTCAGAATTCGGATCAAAAATCACGCTCAGGAGTCAAATTTCCGACATTTCAGATATTTTGAAAACTGCAGGGGGGTTTGGGCAAAATATGACCCCTCGCCGTTTTCAGTAATTGGCATATTTTCGGTATAAAAAATCGTAATTTGAAAATGAAAATAGGTGCAGAGAGTCAGGATTCGGCTCAAAAACCACACGCAGGAGTCAAATTTCCGACATTTCAGATATTTTGAAAACTGCAGGGGGGTTTGGGCAAAATATGACCCATCGCCGTTTTCAGTAATTGGCATATTTTCGGTATAAAAATTCGTAATATGAAAATGAAAATAGGTGCAGAGTCAGAATTCGACTCAAAAATCACACTCAGGAGTCAAATTTCCGACATTTCAGATATTTTGAAAACTGCAGGGGGGTTTGGGCAAAATATGACCCATCGCCGTTTTCAGTAATTGGCATATTTTCGGTGTAAAAAGTCGTATATCATAATAGATTACTTTGAAACCTGTATCAGTCACTAAACAAAAAACTGGGCTACTCTTATTACAAATTCGCTTTTAGACCGTCAGCTCGCTACTTTTAGCAATTTGAATCTGGCAACCCAGTGAATATCGAACAGTTCTCAAGGTGGGACAGCAGAAGGGATTTGAATAGTACTATATGAGTATCGTGATGGGATCCCTGGATTTGAATGTTCTAATAATCTATCTTATCTTTTTTCTACCTGACGCCATATTTGTTTGGTTATGCTCCCTAAATGTTAGGTCGTCAGACATCTACAGATTACAAATAAACAATCTAGCTCAGAGGTGGGAAGAGTGCCTGAAACATAGTGAGGATTTTCTTGCTGAAAAATCCTAAGACACTAGAATAGGAAACGCTTTTCTGGCCGAAACGCCATGCGTGATAGTGGCTTTACAAGAATGTAAAACTTCAAGTCTCTGTACTCTCATAAACCCTATATACCTTCTTGTATATAAATAAATAAAAACTGGGTGCATTTAAGCCCAGTTTTCCATAATGAGTCTCCCAATTCCCAACTCATTCAAGAATTTGAGCGCACTTTTACCATCTGAGCTGATTGGAATAAAGCTGTAGCACTGCATAAGGCCTCTGTATTAGCTGGTTTTCTGAGTCTCCCTGAATGTAGCATCCACCACATTCAGCTCTGCTGTACTAGAGGTGGGTGTTGACCAAACTGGAGGAACATGTGTAGTCCCACACCACCTATTGATCACTATTCCAGGACATCATGGTGATCCCATCTGGGCACTTGTCCAGCACTGGTTTGTACAATTGTTGTTCTCCTTGTGCCAAACAACAGGCTGTGGCAAGGATCCTCGTGATGTCATTGATAACTTTGTGTCTTGCACCCTTTCATTATGATTTATAGCAAATGAGAAATTTGTGGCCATATTAGTCTACCACTTCACTTGTGCATATACAGGTGTTAGACAGGTTAGAGGAAATGAGGTGAAGGTGAAGGGCAACACCAGTACAAAGAAACCCACCTGACATGGCAATCAATGTCTCAAGGGTAACAAATAAAAAATACCCAGCATGATGGACTGCTACTGCTGAAAGGTGTGCTCTATCCATCCCATAAGTAATATGCCGACATGAATTTTTTTGTAATGGGGTTATCCCAGCGAATGTTTTTATTGTCTTGGTGCAATGGGGAAAGGGAAGCAATACCAGCTGTCTGACTTCTTCAGTTAAACTTAAGATTTGAGAACCTAACTGATAATGTAAACTGGCAGAATCTTCTCAAATCAATGGCAGCAATACATATGAAAACCAGCAGGGCTGTCTTACTTATGAACTGTATCTTGAAGTTATCTTAAGAGGAAAGTCCCCGCAGACCGGTTCTCGACCAGGCCTCCTTTTTCTTACCCCCTCACCCCCAGGAAGCAACCCGTAGCAGCTGACTAACTCCCAGGTACCTATTTACTGCTAGGTGAACAGGCGCACCAGGGTGAAAGAAACTGCCCATTTGTTTCTGCCTCCACTGGGGATCGAATCCAGAATCTCAGGACTACGAATCTGAAGCACTGTCCGCTCGGCTGTCAGGCCCCAGTGGTCCCTACATTTGCACCAGAGGTGGTACCCCTTTTATATTATATATTTATTTATTTTCATCAGTGCTTATATTTGGGCACTGCCCAGCATCCAAAAACAATTAAAATGGGTAAAAAACAAACAAACTCTGATCTGATCTTTATTTTTGAGTATTTCAAACTACATGTTGCATATATATCAGTTTAGCACTGACTATACTGTCTAGTCCCTACCTTGTTCCTTCTATACTAAATATAATCACGACACTTTGAAGTTACTCCCTACCACTTCATATATCTCATACAAGACTACATCATCCAGATATATAACAAAGTACACAAACTAGAGACTCTCTAAAAATAGCACATAATTTTCTAGTGAATAATTTCAGCATCTAGTTTTCATCTCTTACCATGTACAAAATGATTATTTTTGTCAAAATTCACAAGATAACCATTTTCTCCAATAACAGCAATAGACAAAACATAATATTGCTTCGCTTAATTCAAAATACGTTTGCATAATGGGCAGGCCCTTAGGCACTCATGCTGGGCCTAACTGGTGTGAACGGCAAGGGTTCCAGTCCCTGTATTAGCTGGTTGAAAACAGATATTCACTTTTGATGTATGATCATGACTCAACCAACACTACCACAGGGTTAATATGGTTACAACAGAGCCGCCCACATCTGCAGCCAAGGCTCTACCTCACCAGGTGGGGGGTTCCGTGGCACGCACATGCGAGTACATTAGTTGAAAAAACAAATGCCTATCACAGGAGGCAACTCTCCGACCTCAACATAGTATGTGCCAAATGCTCCAATGTGCAACGTTAACTTGTGCATAGTAAAGGGAGTTGATTCTCTCCATGTTTCAAAAGTAAAATAAATTTTTGCACTTTATATTTTTATAAGCAAAGGAATGTTTATTACCTGGCCATGTAATACCTTCAAGGTATTTAGTCAACCATTATGAAAATAATGCTATCCCATTCATGCATTCATATTGGCATTATCTAATTTCTTAGACAATTCAGACTGATAATATTAATGGAACAACTGCCACTGAGTGCTAAATAAAATAAAGAAATTTAAACTTTATGGTATCCTTCACAGAAGTAAATTCTAGTCAGTTTTCACCAGTAGCAATAGTTACATAGTTTATATTCAGTCTGTGACTGGAGTCTGGCATTCTGCTTATCATACAAGAGGTTGGGGATAAGGACTGCAAAATAAAATACGGCTGGAGCTCAAGGGGCGGGATGTGCTAGAGGGGGAGAGGAACCTGTTTAGGCGAGGAACTTGGGTTGCGACATGGCTGCACCAGTCTTTCTCAAGACTGGGCTCTGGTAGGAATTGTTTGGAATCTGTTTCTATGTGCAGAATAAAAGACATTTTAGTGTAATTACTCTGAAACACAGAACCAGAGTGCCCACTGCACTGCCACTCACACCTGCTGACATCACAAAAAAAATATTAAAAATTCTTTAGCCCTTTACAACATAGTCAAGTGTGGTGGCAGGCAGGAGTGACTGATGAGAGTTTAACACGGGGTAAGGAGGTAGAAGGGTGGGTTTGGGACGGAGGCTGCGCTCCCCGCCGTCAGACTAGCATTTGACACTATCACGACATCACAGCAGTACTTCACTGCTTGGACCTCCCAAAAGCACCTCGCATGTTTACTAGCAATCAAAAGGTGGAAGATTTCCCCTATCATACTACAGTAATCACTAAAAATTCCTTTGACTGGGAAAAAACCTAAGAAACAAGAACAAAATAAGTGATTGTCATAAATGCTACAACCTCTACTACATCTTCTTGATGTGGATGGGTGTGGCCACTTTGCAAGCAAAGTATATAGCGTTAGTATATATCCATCCTGTAAAAATAACAAAGTTATACAAATCGTGAAACTAGACTAATCTATCACATGCGCGAGGGCCTTAGGAGGCCTCAACATAGGACCCACAAAACCGGGGAGCGAACCCTCTACCCTGAGGCATCATCAGGACTACAACATGAAGCATGGGGAGAGTGTCTTAAGTGTATAAAACACCATGTTACCAAAAGCTTTTTCATCTCTATGTTAATAATAATAATAATGAAATTTTTACACTCTCAGTACACTTGAAGACACCATTAAGTGACAGTCAGTGCTGGGGGTGGAGACCTATCATAGCCAGACCATGGAACAAGAGACTCCTTTAGAGGGGGGTAGCTTGTTATCACAAACTATTGATAATACTGATATTCCTTCAAAAGAAAGATACATGACCTTTGTTATGATTGGTCCCCAGGCACATCAACATTCATTATCACACTTCAAGGTCACCCAATTGACCTAATCATGGCACAGATATTGGCTGCAGAATGATTTCCTCAAGAAAATGTATCAAAAAATAAATAGGACAAATTTTAAAACTTTAAAAAACTTGCCAAATTATATTCCATATCATCTAAGAGCAAAATTTACTGTATCATAGTAAGCAGGAAACTAATCATGCTGCAACCTCCAAAACACGACCACACCAGCACTGTCCGTCCAAAGCTGCGAGGTGGCACAGGGGGTTCACATATGGCGGGGGATTTCTGAAATTGGGGTGAATTAAGGATGGAGGGAGCTGCTGAGGAGGTAATACCTATTTCATAAACAAAAATCTTATTCTTTGCAACACTGCTTCATATTCTCAAAATAAAATATAAAATGCATTTTCTTTCTAGCTTCAAATCATGTGATTCATAGCATGAACTTTCTGTTATATATTTAAATAATTGTTTTATATATATTATATATATATATATATATATATATATATATATATATATATTACATATATATATATATATATTGATATATATCAATATATATTGATATATATCACGGTAAACTCTCTAGGAAGAGATTCGGCCTGCTCCATCATCACCTACTCTACCCATATCACGTCTATATATTCAAGTACTGCAGCCACAAGAACAACAACAACTACTTCAAGACGTCTAGACAGTACCTCCAGTCTCCCCCATACACCACTGCCCATCACCCCACCTCGCACCTGGGTCGCTGGGAGCTCACACCATCCGAAACAAGCAGTTCAAGAGCCGGTTAATAGTTAAAGAAGGAACCAGCGCTACCTGGATGACTGTCGCCGTATGTACATAGGGCTACCTAGCCCACCAAGATTCAGATTACTCCTGAGTGCTCTACTGAGTAGACCTGTTGACATACCCCAGAAGTTATTCAGAAGAAGCTGGTGGTTTCTTAAACTATGAACCGGCATGTTAATTGCTTGTTTCGGCCGGTGGCGTGAGCTCCCAGGTGAGGTGACGGGTGGTAGTGAAGGGGGGAGACTGGAGGTACTGTCTAGACGTCTGGAAGTAGTAGTAGTAGTTGTTGTTCTTATGGCTGAAGTACTTTAATATATAGACGTGGTATGATATAATAGGTGATGATGGAGCAGGCCAAATCTCTTCCTAGAGATTTTACAGTGACAATATATATACACAATTAATTATATAAAGAAATTAGCTTGTAAACTCACAAAAGAATTATTCCAAGCTTTAGTCTACATTTCATGATATTTTTGTAGAAAATGTCTCAAAATATAGACAAAAGCTTGGAAAATCTCCCGAGAGTTAACAAGCTTGTACTACCTATGATACTATCATGGACTGAATATTTATACAGTATGTAGTGTGTGTATGTGTGCGTGAATGTGTGCATGTGAGAATGTGTGTGCGTGTGTGTGTGAATGTGTGTGTGTGTGAATGTATGTGTGTGCGTATGTGTGTGAATGTGTGTGCATGCACTTGTCCACATGTTTATTAATAACAATATTGTATACAATTGAAGTAATCAAGTGCAATAAGTGATCAATGCTCATATAATGCTCCCCAGCAGCCTCCCTTGTGTTTCCTGAGCTGCCTAATGAGTCACGGGCTACAGGGAATGTCTTTTCATTATTCTATCACCTGTGAGGTAGTAACTACAAATTGGGAAGCAAAGAGACTTGGTTCAATACCACCTATTGCATAGGACAAATATACAGAATTTCTAAAAATAAAAAATACCTCTATAAAGGAGAGTACAAAAAAGCTTCTGTAAAATAAAAAGGAACTTAATATCTACCCTGATATAGTACATATGAATATCATACCTTCAATTATCACTTGTATGCACCACTAAAATTTGTGGACTTTAAGAGTTGTGCAGTCAAATAGATTTCTTCAGCTAAGCAGAAGAAATTAGAAAGCTGTACGCAGTGAAGGCAGTGCTGCGAAACTTTCTCATTCAAGAGAGAGCAGTCTCATCGCAAAATACTGCTGAATGTTTTGTGTACTGAACGTAAAAAAAAAAAGAAAAAAAAAGAGGCTAGCCAGTGCATACAAGGTCAATCCATTGGTAAAACAGTGTCACAGCATTGGCTTATCTATCATTTTTCATAAGTTACTGCAGAATTCTGCTCTTCTTGATACCATTGCACACATACTGTCATACCATGATGTTTACTCTCTTATGGTCCACTAATCATAACATTACCGTTACCAACACTCTGCGTACATCCAGGCCAAGACTGACAGCCATTTTCTCTATCAGTGCCAAAAAATAATATTTTTTTTCCGACATCTAGTAAGGCAATTAAATTCAAGAATGGGATAGACTGTAGAATAGTTATATCCTATCAAAAAATATACTTCTAGATGTAGATGAATAACTCTGTACAGTAGTTACATATGGAATATTACTGTGCATTATCACACTACAGTATTTCAATATCCTAATGACTAAACAGTAAGTAGGGCTTCACAGCAACATGACATTTATATAAGATCAGAAATATATATTTGTCATGAACTCTTGAAATATGCTTTGAAGAGTTCCACCTTTCTAAAAATAATTTGACAATTTAGGCTAATATTAATGATAAAGAAAAAGGTATTAGCCATGGCCTTTATGCAACACAGAGCTCCTCAAGCAGGCGCTGCTCCACATGGGGTATCAGGTCATCACTGGGCAGATTCATACTCAGTAACACAGGTTTCTGTACACGTTTCTGTAATCTTTCTGCTAATTGCGAGGCTTGATGACTTCCTGCACCAGATGGGCCCAAGAGAGTGGAGACAGCAGGTGGGCCGACACGTGACCCTAAAGCTGCCACTAACCCTCCTAAGTTGCCCTGCTGTTTCCCCACCCAGGCATACACACTCCCTCTTAGGGTCAGCAACTGGTAGTAAATAGTACAGTCACCATGTTGGCTAATGAACTCTCGCAGATTGAGACCTGGTACAACTTCATCCATTCTTGCTCTTGTTGGGACTACAACACCCTTACACAGCTGATAGCTCAAACACTTCACTTTAGCTTTCTATTTCTACAATAAACAAACAATCTATATTGCAGGCCTCCTGGGCTTGTTGGAGTTTTTCTCAAATCTGAATGAGGTCAAAGCATCACCATCACAGCCAGGCCTCTTCACATCAAAAGTTCATATTCACATTAGTTACTCATTTGTGAGTTTTATCATAACATTAAAAATTATTTGCATGCATAATACTTCACTTGGCTTTTTCCAAAGGCAATTGTACTTGATTTTTTTTTAGTATACTGAACAACACAGATGTTCTACAGAAGCTAACTCACTCTAAGATTTGCACATTACAAACTACACTCATATAGGCAAAGTATAGGTCTCTTGGTTCTTGTGTTTACTTGTGTTTTACGAAGTGCAGCTTGAATGATATTTGGGAAGTTAATGACTGGAGATAGGAACTTTTGCTACTTTGGGTTTTTGTGTCTCAGATTTCACAATCGGCTTCTTTGGTTGCCTCTGGAAAAAATAACATGTGGTTAATATTTATATACTGTATATACTATAATAATGGTATTCAATAGCACACATAACATACTTGGCATTCTATAAAGCTTTCTTAAATGTGACTATTATAAACAAAATGTATGAGCTGCATTATGTGTAATTCCTCCAACTAGACTTGGGTTCCTAGATACAGTACAGTATAGGCAAACAAACAAACAAAATTTTTTACCGACTGATTTAATAAACAAAAAATACTAAACACACTATTATTGTGCTATATTGCAGGACAGACAACAGTGAGGCATGGCTTGTAACATTAAACAAGGCTATTTTCCCATCAGTGCTGTAATGAACTATGGCAAACTCCGTCAAATTTGACATACAACAGTCAGAGTCTCTGCCTCTGTAGAAGTAACTGGTGTCTGTGTCCACAGACTTCAGCAAATGCCATGCTACTTGGTGATGCGTAATATCCCATCTTCAGTGTTATATTTAATTTATACATTTTGCCAGAAACACCATTATAATTACCTTTGTGAAATCTACTACACAGCCTTTTATGTATCTAGAAGTTTTCTGAAAAAGAAAAGAAATTAATGAATATCAGCAGGCCTACACAGAAATAGCTTCATGCAGTACTCATTAAAAAAATTTAAAAGAAATTGACACAAAATATGAACAGAAACATGCAAAAATTCAAGGGACAGGTCAGGAATCTACAGTCAATAGTTAAATTTTGGTAGGTAAGGCATCATGCTGCCATAAACTGCCACTAACACCATCACCATGCAAACTTTCTCATTGAGAACTCATGCTGTTCTCTGCTTTAATCTGGATAAAGTGTTACCTTCATCGCTACTACAGGCACCCTTGCCCTCACTTGGCCTTGCTGCAGAGAGGTCCAGAGCAGCTGCGGCCAGGCTGTTGGAGCTGCCTAGGAGAGATGAGGGGGATGCCTTGAGGGCTGAGGGGGTCTTGGATAAGGGGGAGCTAGCAGTAGACGATGCTGTAGAGGTGGGTACAGCTGATAGTTGACCAGAATTCAACAGGGACAGCAGATTGATATTCATGCCCAGAGAACTCAAAGGGCTTGATGATAAGTGGCTCTGGTGATCACTTAAACTAGCATGGCCCCCACTGCTGCTAACAGGCACATTGTTACCATTGGCTTGTGAACTCGCACTCTGGTAAATGTTCTTCATTGTTTCTACATAGTAGCTCCGAGCTGCCTCTGAATACATAGATTTCATCAGGTCAGGGTTGGTCAACATTGTCTGCATTAGAGTCTGATTCATGGCAGCAATCATCAAGGGATTCAGTGGGTTTAATTGATTTAACAAGTTCAGCATACCAGCACTCTGATTTTGTTGTTGATGCTTTTGGTGGTGTTCAATTTGCTTTTGCTGATGCTCCATCTGCTCTCGCTGCTGTTTTTGTAATTTCTCCAACTCTTTCTCCCTGAGAACCTGCAATTCTTTCTCTCTTTGTTGTTGAAGCTCCCTTTCTCGTTCTTTCTCTGCTAACTTTCGCTCCTCGTATTCTTTCATATCTTTAATATATCTCTGGCGATCCTGCTCGGAAAGCTCAACAAATTTTTGCTTCTCAACATCGCCCATGTTTCGCCACAATTCCCCTGCTCTTTTGCCAAAGTCTGCAAACTGTGGGAACTCCTTTCCTTCTTCCATTAGTTTTCGTTTAAAATATGCACAAAAATGCATGAATGGAGTACAAGCTTTCTTGGGCATGTCTGGTTGCCTACGCCTCTTCTTCTTACGTCTACGTGTAGGCCCCGGAAGTGCAACTGCTTGAGGAGCCAACCGTCCAGCAGATGGACCCTGTAGCAGTGCCTCATAAGATCGAATCATGCTGCCATTCTGTCTAGCCTGAGCAGCAGCTGCTAGACTCCCCAAGCCCCCCAGACCCCCATGGCACCCCCCAAGACCCCCAGCACTGCCACTTGCCAGCAGCTTGAGCAGGTCCGTCTGTGATGGGGCACCACTCGTCCCATTCTCTCCACTGTAACAGCCAGAATAACAACTAACAACCACTGCACACTTCAGCCTTACAGCTTTTTATACTCACCAGGCTCTAACAGTATCCATACTAGAACTGATAAGAAAATCCTTTTATTCTTAAATGTTCTTGAATTATATTTAAAGCTTATGAACCCCCTAAACCAATGTCTTTGAGCTAGGGATAATTCTAAGCTTCATCCACTCCATACTCACCAATATATGTAGTGTTGTTCAGTGCAGAGAGGAGTGAATTATATACAAATAGTGCAAAGTACCAAAGATTGTGGAAACATGGAAAATGTCATGATGCTAAGCTTATCACAAGCTTGTGCCTACGATGGAAAATATCTCCATTCCTAAACCCTTGCAAAGTACATTGAAATAAGAAGTAAACATGGCAAATTCAAAGCAAGATTAAACATTAATATTTAAAAAAAGCAATCCAACTGACAATAAAATGGAATTGAAAATATGATTTTTATGAGAAATCCTGACCCATCCCCTAGAAGTACCTTTTGGTATGCTGTTAGAACTTCAAACAGCAATGCTCAAAGGGATCAGATTTAAATTATTTAGGATAAACCAGAGAAAAATGTTAAGTTATTAGTGGAATCCAAAATAAACATATATGAGCCAAAGAAGCTACAAACCCTTTTTGCAAAAAACACACCGTGCATCAAATGTCAGTAAACAGAGCAGTCAAAACATCTGGCCAAATATTGTAAAATATATAGCACTGGATAAACCATTTTTTAAGTTGCTGCCTTGTGGCATGAAAGCAATGGAATGCTTGATTAAAAAAAAGTACGTTTGTTTTAAGTCAATTCTCAAAATGGTTAACCCAGGCAAATAAAAAAAATGGGAGACAAGAAATTCCCTTCCATGGTGCAAAAAAAATAAATAAAAAAAATAAAAAAAAATAAGTCAAGTTCACAGAAAGTGATCAAATCAGGTTCTCTCACTCGGCCAGTTACATACCAGTATCTCGCAACCTGTTCGTTTGGCACATGAAGGAGAACAAACGCATCAGATAAATGAGGATGGGAAGACTCTAACATTAGCTTAACTTTCTCAATAACTTTGCACAACAGTGAAGAATTGTCTCTTCATTATCAACAATATCCAGTATAAACATTACATATGTAACTTTTAAAGTTGCTTTTCATCCATTAATTATATCAATTCCTATTGCTAACCTCTAGGGTTGAAAAACCTACTTTCCTGCTACTTGACAATAAAAAATAAAAAAAATGCTGATCAGCCACGACATAACTAAGATTCTATAATTCATGGGAGCTTCACAAAAGTTATGCTTCGGGCTAATTTTCCAAGTATTTACCCTTGGATAACTAGCTGTTGGCAATTTCCTAATAAAGGTAATTTAATAGATAACTTGCAGCATTACTGAGAATTAGAACAGCAATCCCTTGTAGAGAAAAACTTACCCATTGACAGCCTTGCCGAGCTTCTCAACAACCAGGTCGTCCATGTATGTTCATATGTCAAGGCAGCTAGACCTAGTGCACCTGCCGAAACAACATTGAAATACTTAATACAATTTCACAACTACAATGCTAAAATTTATAAAATAGCCTTAACAAAAACATATGTACAGTACATGTACTATATGAGAGTATCCTAGTCACCTAGACCAGAGCACTGAGTGATTACTGATTTTATAACATGTATTATGTAAACATTATAATCAGATTAGGTAATGGTATAAATATTACCACCACCCATCAAGTAGTAGATTTCTTATAAAGACTACATTTTGAGATCAAAAACAGGTCACAAACAACAAATAATAAATCTATATTATACTATACTAAATACTGAGCCATATTTTGTTATTAAAATAATGGAAACAACCACATTGCAATGAAATGGCTTTGTGATTAGACAAAAGACAAGTGAAAACAAAGGCAAGAGATGATGAAAAGAAATTCTTGCAACAATTAACTTCCTAACAGTGAAAGACGTGTCCTGATTTCAATATTTTACTCCATTTAGTGGTTTACATGCTTCTCCGTACTTTCTTATGCCAGGTATTAGTTTACAGTGGTTGGTTTAGGGCTTGCATTACTTTGGAATTAATAATACAATTTAGTTTCCATAAATTCTGGGATTTATTTTGATTAGCTAAGGTAAATATTTCATTGGTATTTTCACATAACTTTACTCGAGACAAATCTTTTGGATGGTCATTCTTGGTTTAATTTAATAGGCCATGGCTTGGGAGCAGTTAGAACACAATTATGTACTTATGTACTTGTACTTATGTACAATTATGTAATTATGTACAGCCAAATAAAGGGCATTGAATAACACCTTGCTTATAATGAGGTGAACTATTAAATGATGAACTTATTAGCAGAGTTCTACCCAATCTCCAATGTGCCTCTAGAATTTATATTTTAATAAAAATTGTGCATCAAGGTAACAACTTCAGAAAGTTTCCTTGTGAATTAAAACAATATACAGTACTATGAAGCAAATTCTTTTAGCATACAGTATTGAATTTATATGTACAACATGACTTTACCTTATTAGTTAGGCTAAACAGAATAAACACGTTCATTCACCATTATGCCAACAATCATGAAATGAGTAAAATTTATATACAGAATATGCTATAATTTTGGAATCTCAAGTTACAATTTTTAATAAATGATTAACAGTAGAAGTGCAGCGAGTCTCAACGATACAGTATAGTCAATTGAGTGGTAATGATTATAAATGCCATGATATATATGTGATACAAAAGAAAGTAATAAAAATACCTAAATTTCATCACTTATATGAGAACATGTTCCAAGAAATATACATCGTACTTGAAGAATTTCATGAAAGAAAAATTATTAAAGTATGGGACTGTGTGTTGAAAAATTTGTGTGAATATTTTGCCCGAAACGCAATGCATATTAGTGGCTTTAGGTATTGTATGTATACTAGCTCTATCTGTAAATCCAACTTTATGTTTGTAACTCATCTATGTATGTACTTTTACTTGAATAAAAATTTGAATTTTGAATTTGAATTTGTGTGAATATTTATACTGTAGTTTAAGAATTCAGCTAATGAACAGTCATGTAATGAAACCTCTTGAGAAGAGGTATTATAAAGCAATACAGGAGATTTAACTTCATAATCAGTGGGTTTCTTCTTGCAATACATCCTCCACCAGCCACTCCACGGGACAAAGCACACAATTGCTCATTCACTTCCTAGCGCTTACATGTTTGCAACGCTCATTTTACATCTTTGTATATATACTGTACTGTAATGTTCCGTGTTCATATTGAGTAATTTTAATATACTGAATATGTAATGCCTATTGGGTTGAAAAATTAGTCATGTACAAATAGTATACACACATTTTAGAAAATATATATAAACATTAAAATGATATACTTTTAAATCAAGCATATACTAACACACACACACACAGTATACTAACTGCACTAGGTGAGTACACAAAAACATCTAAAAGTAGAGTATTGTAATTAGAAAAAGAAAGAGAAGGAAGTTAACCAGCAATGCATCGTGAACAGCAGAGCCCTCAACACCACCCGTACTTCACAACCGCAGCCCAAGTGAAAGACCCACAAGTGGAGCTGACAATAGAAAGCATCAGTCTCCCCTGCTTAACACCCTCCCCCTTCAGCTTCCAAGCCCCACAACCCCTTCTGCCACCCCTTACCACTTCTGCCTCCCTTCCTCTCCCCACTGTGCGGGGCCCCTCTCATCCTCCCCACCCCACTTTTTTGTGTAGAGAAACAAAGACAGCAAGCTCAGACGTCCCCGACTCTGAGCCTGCAATATTGATCACTCTGATGCTTAATCACACGCTGCATGGGTACGGTGCGAGGCTTGCAACGCACCCAACGCTTGGCTCCACACACATTGTCATTGTGGGAATTAGGAATAGTGTACTGTACTGTATTAACATGCTGATTCTGTACTGTAATAAGTTAAAGTGTATCTGTCAAATCTTAAGGTGAAATATCTTTCTCCTACTAATGTACACTTTAGGCATACCTTAATTATATATGTTAAGACTTGTTACCAAATGAGTTAAGAATTGTTATCAAATTGCTCTTACTTGCTTTTACAAGCAAGAATGAATTTTGTCTTACATTACAATACTGTATTGTATTGTAAAGTACAATACCCCTCCCTTGCTTAGCTACAACATTATTATTCTATTCAGAGAGGGTCGTGGGGTAGAGTCCCTCCATCAAAAATTTGAGAGGCTAAGTAACATTATGAGCCAAAATACACAGCTATTTTGTATACAGTATTTTGTGTGCAGCATTATTTGTTGTCAAACTGCTGAAATGACGGCAAGAATATGATCTGGTCGCAAATATGCTGTCATTTCTGCAGTTGCAAATATCTTGTTGCAAATATGCCTTTGTGATGCATATGGCCTAATCCAACAGATTAAGCCTTCTTAGCAGTAAGCTATTCCCATTTATTAATATTTCAGTTACAAATACAGTGTTGTATATTTAAAATATATTATGAACTATTTCCATGATTTTTACATATTTACAATATACTGTAATATATATATATATATATATATATATATATATATATATATATATATATATATAACCATATATATATATATATATATATATATATAACCATATATATATATATATATATATATATATAACCATATATATATATATATATATATATATATATATATATATATATATATATATATATATATATATATATATATGTGTACAATATATAACGAATATATACATATACAAAATATGCTTAAACAAATTAACTGAGATATATATATATATATATATATATATATATATATATATATATGTCGTACCTAGTAGCCAGAACTCACTTCTCAGCCTACTATTCAAGGCCCGATTTGCCTAATAAGCCAAGTTTTCCTGAATTAATATATTTACTATAATTTTTTTCTTATGAAATGATAAAGCAACCCTTTTCTCTATGTATGAGGTCAATTTTTTTTTATTGGAGTTAAAATTAACGTAGATATATGACCGAACCTAACCAACCCTACCTAACCTAACCTAACCTATATTTATAGGTAAGGTTAGGTTAGGTAGCCAAAAAAAGCTAGGTTAGGTTAGGTTAGGTAGGTTAAGTAGACGAAAAAACATTAATTCATGAAAACTTGGCTTATTAGGCAAATCGGGCCTTGAATAGTAGGCTGAGAAGTGCGTTCTGGCTATTAGGTACGACATATATATATATATATATATATATATATTATATATATATTATATATATATATCAGTTAATTTGTTTAAGCATATTTTGTATATGTATATATTAGTTATATATTGTACAGTTTTTCATAGTTTGTGCCAATAACCTTAAATTTTATCATGTGTGAGAAACTAATCAAATATACTGTATTACAAGAGGAGTGGAGACATATCAAAAGGGTCTGGTCCTAAGAAGTGAGTCTGAACCCCAGGGAGAGGAACCCCAGGGAGAGGAGTCTGGTCCCAACAGGGAATGTGAACAGCAATTGGAGCGCCACCAGTATACAGGTATGTGTACAAACTTAATTTATCAAGATAGCTCCAATACAGTGGAAAGACTCGTGCTGTAAGGGTTAGATTTTCATTAATGATAATAATCATTCGGTATTCTTCACCATTCAATACTGAAGGTGCTGAAGCACTTGGTGAAAGAGTGACTGTAGTATGTGTGTGTGTTTGTGTGAGTCTTACTGGTGTAGCTGTGTTTGTAGATGCCGACTTCCGGAGCTATTATCATGGCAATTATTGTGATGTACGAGACGTTGAGACCTTGGAGGTCATGAACACTACCCTCAGGGAGCCATACTGATTATGACGTCACTATACAAGCACCTGATACATCACTCAACTAAGTCAACCACAATTACAACCTAACCAAACCCATAACTTATTAACTAGATCGATTTATATTACATTTGTATTGCAAGTAATTTGAATTATATATATTTTTTATGTATACAATGATAAACCAGTAGCTGATTCGACATGAAATAAATGCCTTAATGGCAACCACACATTCCGTTGCCATAGTTATATCCAGTTGTATTTAGCTAGTTATATTTATCTAAGTAACAAGAATTACGTAAGTGCGTACAAAATGCATCTGTTCCTTAAGTGAGCGTAAGACACCCGACCCCAATTCTTCATCACTTAATTAAGGCCGCTTGTTTCGACCAACAGATGTAGGTTATTTTAGCTCCCAGTAACATGGGTGACGAGACTAAGGAACACACAGAACACTGGTGTTGAGAGGGAGAACTATCACAGCTGGGGAGGGGGCAGGTGGAGGATAAGGGGGTCTAGAACATATCTTCTTGAGATGATTTTGGGGCTTTTTAGTGTCCCCGCGGCCCGGTCCTCGACCAGGCCTCCACCCCCAGGAAGCAGCCCGTGACAGCTGACTAACACCCAGGTACCTATTTTACTGCTATGTAACAGGGGCACAGGGTGAAAGAAACTGCCTATTGTTTCTCGCCGGCGCCCGGGACCGAACCCGGGACCACAGGATCACAAGTCCAGTGTGCTGTCTGCTCGGCCGACCGGCTCCCTGTATAACCGACCGACATAACACAGGAAAGAACAGGATTACTGACAAACACAGCAGAGGGAAGAATTCACATAACACAGCTGTAGAGGGGGGGGGGGGTTGCTAGCAAAGTGGGAAGGGGTTTACTAACATAGCTAGGACGAGGCCAGATGGGGAACTAGCAAAGAAGGAAAGGGGGAATGGTATATCAGGAAAAAGGAGGGAGGGACTATACAGCAGGGAAGGCAGCCATGTCGCTCTTGTGTTTCCAAATTTTTGTTTGTGAAAATCCTTCCAGCCTCAGTCGCTCTAATATAAATCAAATCACAAAAGCAAGTGCTAAGGCGGCCCATCAAATTGTAGACTCAATCAAACGTATATTGTCAAGATGCATCATTCTGCCCATCAGTAATCAACACCTTAGTTACTGAACATGTAATTTTATAGGATGATAAATTATACTGCGGTCTGGATTCACTGAATTCTATAAGCAGTAGGTGTGGAAGAATCCAACAAAGTGCACGAAACCCACTTATATCTAATAGCTACATGTCCCCACAGATTAAATGTCTCAAATTCTGAGAAACTCCCAAAAGAGCATGTAACGTGCGTGTCATGGGGGAAGTTAATGGATTTCAGGAATTTGGTGTATGATGAAGCATTGATGGTACAAGCCAGAGCCAAGCCAAACCTCCAATTTCCCATGTTGTGTGAGGGGCGAGATCCCACCGCCCCGCAGATGACCTGGTTAGCCTGAGGTATTTCCTGACCATCAACCCGTCACCCGCTCCTGCCGTTCCTCACGCCCCTATATACCCTCTGTGCCAGCCAGCCTGCTTTAGTACTACTACGGGCTCGCCATAGCCCGTGCTACTTGGAATTTTGTTTCAGGTAGCGAATCTTTAACAACAACAACAAACTGCTTTAGTATACTTCCTGCGGCAGTAAAACACTGCTTCGCAACAAGCATGCCTGCTACACTACATCGAACACCCGCCCACACGACTCTGAAAGCGTATATCAGAAATCTACTTATCACACCACTCATAAATGAACATCAGCGAACCTATTAATAACAAACTCATGTATGCGCTTTCCGTAAATGACTATAATGTGTTTAGGGATTAACACATTAATCCCTAAACACTAAACACAATCTTGCCTCTTAATTCACATTGCTGTGAATTAAGAGGCAAGTTATTGCAATAGGCTTGACGTAGTTGTGGTGTTAGGATAATTTATGAGCGGGGACCTGCAAAGAGATTCAGTAATGATGTTCAGTGTTATAGACTTGACATTTCAATGAATAATGAAAGAATTATAATTAGGTAATGGCTCATAGAATCCGTAAACCCATTTTCTTTCTGTCCTTTTTATTCAACGAATAGATAAAACGTAAATTAAATCCCCATTTCTAATCATATACTAGGCTAAGTCGAGCTGAAAGACGTGTCGAGAGATTATGTAGTCAGCTTTTCTTTAACGTTTTTCTGTTAATGTAAGTGGCGTCGACGGCAACAAAAAATATGCCTTTTTGCGTCACATGAAACTGAGGCAGCAAAAAGCGTAGCAGTAAGAGCGGGCAGGTCGTGGTGAGTGAGGTTAGTGATGGCAGTATAGAGAGGGAGACGCCTTTGTGCAGTGTGTGGCAATGATGGACACTGCCCTACCACCCAGCATTAAGTCTGCTTCTTCCCCTCTCCCGGGACAAGGCGCGTCCCCTTCCTTCCCTCCGTCATGTTAGCTCAAGTATGGTATAGCAGGGGGAGAACGGCGTCACCTTGCCCCGCTGAGTCTGTCCCTCCCGTCACATCCCCTGATGCGACCCCCCCCCCCCCGTCACAGACACTACCATCTCCCTAGTCTGTTTCCTCCGTCACCTCCCCTGGCGAGTCTGCCCTGTCACACACCCGTCGCGGCTGCACCGTCACCCTCCCTTAGCCCTTCATGCTGCAGGATCCGCGGCTCGATCCCCTTTACGGAGCGGCCTTTGTTATGGAGGTGTGAGGCGCCTGTGGGTAAACACCTCCAGGCCCCCGTACCACTACGAGTCTTCAATTTACCCCGCTATTGACTCCAGGCGACACACCACCACCTTTACATAACCCACATTCGTAATGTGAGAGGCCTCCCTAGTCACACACACTCAGCTTCATCGTGTTTTAAATATATGTTGGCGGGCGGCATAATAATCTGTCAAAAAAGTGTATTTTTAGGAGAGGAGGCAGACGTGTTAAGCGTGAGTGAAGCAGGAAAGGCAGGCGTTGGTTCCCAGGGGGAAAGGTGAAGTTTGGTTATAGTGGTGCAGATCCTGCCCACTTACGCAAGGAGCCACACCAAGTGTTGGTTGCCGAGTGATCATAAAGTTTGGTTGAGGATGTAGGACGCGGTTACACTACATAAACAACGGCATGGTTGCACTGGGCGTTATTCTGAGTAGTTAGTGCGTGTACTCACTTAGTTGTGCTTGCGGGGGTTGAGCTCTGGCTTTTTGATCCCGCCTCTCAACTGTTAATCAACTGGTGTACAGATTCTGGAGCCTACTGGGCTCTTATCAAATCTACATTTGAAACTGTGTATAGAGTCAGCCTCTACCACATCACTGACTAGTGCATTCCATTTGTTAACTACTCTGACCCTGAAACTGCTAACTATTCTGACACACTGTGTGTGTGTGGGAGAGAGATGGGCATGTGTGTGTGTGGGAGAGAGAGACAGACAGACAGACGGGCGTGTGGGGAGAGAGGCGTACATACAGGCATGTGTGAAAGCGTGTAAAATGTAAGCGTGAAGCTGGTGTAGATGACGGCGGGAATGACAGTGGTATTAATGAGGACCATTGTGGGCTTGTCCGCAGGCCCAGCGTGGCCCCCCCCCCTCAGCCCGCCTCTCACGCTTCTCTTTAGTGTTTTGTCTTACTTCACCACCGCCTCACCACCCCAACCATCACCTGCCTCTTGCATCACCATCTAATGCGCCGCTGTGTAGTATAACATCTTGAATCTCACATTAGTACCAGACAAACATGTAAAGAGTAATACGGGACTCGAACTGGGGCCCAAAACGTACGAGCCGTCATAGCAAGATGGTGGTAGATGATAAGAAAAAAGGTTAGCATAAAGATTAGTGATGACCGAGGCTGACAGACGGTAGGTGTGAGTGGTGAAGCGTACTTGTGCATAAGGTGGAGAGTCAGGATGTCATGAGCGTGGGTGCAAGGTGAGGGTAGGTGGGTGTACGGACAGCGGTATGCATGGTGTGGGTGGATATGGGCGGGCGAGGTGCGGGCGTGCGGGGTGAGGGCGTGCGGGGTGAGAGTGAGGGCGTGCGCGGTGAGGGTGAGGGCGTGCGCGGTGAGGGTGAGGGCGTGCGGGCGTGCGAGGTGAGGGCGTGCGGGGTGAGGACGTGTGGTGTGAGGGTGAGGGCGTGCGGGGTGAGGGTAAGGGCGTGCGGGGTGAGGGCGTGAGGGCGTGCGGGGTGAGGGCGTGCGGGCGTGCGAGGTGAGGGCGGGTGGGGGCGGCGAGGAAGGTGCGCCAGACCAACAGACCGTAGCGGGGACAGCGACGCCGGGCCACCGCTGCGGCTCTGAGCGTCTTTGTGAGACGGCAGCTTCGCGGAAAGCATGAGTTGCACAATCAATGTAATGGCCCCGCTAACAATGGCAGTCTTGGTCAATACTCGGGGCGGCTCACTCCTCCTCCTCACCACTCTCTCTCTCTCCCTGGGTGACTGGTGGCCGCGACGCGCCGCTAGCACGCTGCTGCTGCTGCTGCCGCTGCTATACCACACTCACGCCCCATACACCACCTCCACTCACGCTACCCCAACATATCACAATAGATCAATACCCTCCTTCTCCAATTCGCGACACTTTTTTATGCTTACCTCCACCTTGATCATTAATTCCAAGACCAACCAGGGCATTTATTGCAGTGGCGTGAGTTAGTGTGGATGGGCGTGAGGGTGGAGCATGAGGGTGGTTGTGGGAGGGTGGGCGGAGGGTGGCGGCGACGTTGGGTGGGTGTGGGACACTGGTCAGAGACAAGGGCCACCTTTTTCACCCTCACCGCCCTCTGTCCGCCCCTTACTCACCCTTCAGCCGGCTCACCACATTACTCACCTCACCGCACACACCTCCCATAATGCCCCACTATACTTGCTCTGAACCTTTATGTACCAACCTACACACACACACACACACACGCTGCCACACTGAAAGCTTCTGAGGTGATACATTTATTCCTCTGGTTCCTTGACGAAATGAGGCAATTGTGACGGCCACAAATGAGACCAGCTTCGAGTCTCTTCGCCTCACACTTGGCACTGTCCCAAGCTTGCTGTGAGGTTTGTACCATAACTGTCTTACTCTACTGGTTATTAGATCAAGGGACGGAACATCTGCTTCCCATAATTATTGGGGGAATGACGTACATTCTAGGGGTAATCAGCCTTAAGCCTACCTCTAACATGTCCCGCACGCCTGATGCATTGACCTGGATTAATGATGGTTCATGTGACAAAGGCGGTACCTTCTTCCATATGCTTCCAGATACTGATTATGGATGGATGGGTGCGAGAGACCCATCACCTTCCAGATGTCACTATCCTCCCATACTTTCCAGCTTCGCCCACTCCTCAACCCACCTCTAATACTGCCCGTCCCTCTCTCTCTCTGACCCCATGGTCCTCTGCTCTGTAATCCTGAACGTCATCACTCCCCTAAATCTTATTTGCTACTAATTTAGCATTCCCTCCGTAGCCCCCATCCCTGGGGTTGGCTTCGTCTGCCCCTTCAGTGGTTCTCCCTTCCCGCTCTTCTTGCTAATACTCCTTACTTCTCGCCATACTCCATCTCCTGCCACCCTACCCGAACCTATGTCACCCCATCCCACCCCCCGTCATCCTACCCTAACCCCCAGAGCAACATCATTACACCAAACCTTAAATAACTTTCCACATACTTCTGCCGTATCCTTGCAGAACCAGCCGACCTCAACCGCTAAGTAACACCGCACTTCATCCCCCAGAATACTACAGAAACCCTCTAACCATCACCCTACCTAAACCTAAGAACCACCCCACTATGTGGCGATGGATGAAATAGGTCCCATAGTTGTCCTCACAGATGTCCCACTCTCAAGGGTATATGGGTGGTACTCCCTCACTCCCCGTGTCACAAGGGTGATGCTCCCCCTCACTTCCAGGCGTCACTCTCCGGGGTGACTGATGGGGTCCTCCCCTCTCACCTGGCCTCCCAGTACAGTATAGAACTTGTTGTTATAACACAAATTGATACGTTATCGATGAAGCCATTCTGCTCCTCAACGTGATTTCGCTGCTGTCGGCGGATCGCGTTAAGTTACATGATCTAGCATTCATATAGTGCCCCCATGGGCCTTGATCCAGTGCCTCTACAGTCCTTAGGACAGGTAAGGATTCTGAGTTTGCGTATCTAGAACAAGTTAAATGTCATCATATGTCTTAACATTAAAATAAAATACCGGTATAATCTATCCGCGTGACGGTCACCAATGATGTCTTACACAGCATATTTCCGCTCCAAGTTTCCAACCCGACTCCCACGGGCACGGAGACTCCGCTGAACACAGAACCCGTCTGCCCCGGTACGGAACCCGTCTGCCCCGGTACGGAACCCGTCATCCCCAGATACGGAATCTGGCTCCACCGGATCCGGAACCCGACTACCCTGGCTAGAGAACCCGACCCCACAAGCCCCTGTCCCCCGCACACACTCCACACGTCATTGTGTGGAAAATGCCACCCCGTACTATCCCCAGGAAACACTCACCCTTTCAGCGTTGGCTTCCCTCCTGAAGGGCCTCCTTGCAGACACCCGGAGCAGGGCTCTGAGTGGACAAGTTCCGTCTTGGGGTAAGCAGCAGCTGTACCTCTCCCTCCCCCAGGAGTGGGTAGTGGTCCCTCCCCCCTAGTGGGAGTGCGGGCGGACATGCTTCCCCGCACAAGTGCACCTGGTGCACGCTTCGTCACACTCGCCCTCCCCTGCTTCCCGCCTTAAGGTCTGCCCTGCCACCACACTCCCCCAACCCCAAGCTCTCACATCAACTCCAGGGTCAGCAGAAAGAATCTGAACAGACTCAAATGGAAAACTGGAACCTTTTATCCCAACATATTAGACTACAAGAAAGGAACAGGAACAGAACAAATCCACAAGGGCCGTGACGGGATGCTCCCGGACGCGGGTTCGAATCCTTGTCACGGCCCTTGTGGATTTGTTCATTTGATGCATCACGTTAGTGTGATCTCTGTGTGGGAACAGGAACAGCTAACGTTTTTGGACACCAAAATGATAAAACACCTTTTCTTCCAAATTTTAGAAAAATCATTTGAATTAGTAAACCCTTAATCGTTAGCTGAAAAGGGAGCGAGAGGCAACTTATTTCCTTCGTGATGGTGACGGATAAGTTATAGTACATTTCCAAGGACTTTTATTTCCAAGATAATCACAAGACAAGCCTGGCCTCAGGCCGGGCTTGGGGAGTAGAACAACTCCCGGAACCCTCTCCAGGTATACTCCGGGAATTAGAAAGTGTCATACCAGGTATCAACCAGGTGTACAACAATGTGTGGCGCTACTTAACACCTTGGTAGACGAGCTCACCCCCTCCCCCCCACACACGCACACACAGCTTCGGCCATGACCTCGTCCTCAGCACGCGAAAAAGCAGCACAAGACACCAACAGTATAGAAAACAGTTGAATAAATCCACAAGGGCCGTGAGGAGGGTTCGAACCTACGTCCGGTTCCAAGTAGCACGGGTTATGGTGAGCCCGTAAAAAATCAGTAGCTTCAAGCAGCAATACAATACATGAGGAAAGACCAAACAGCAGCTTAACCTAATATAATGAGATGCAGTACAAAAATTAGCCCAACCCACACAAAAAAAGGAAATGAAAGTACTCACCTATTTGTACTCGCTTATTTGTGCTTGCGGGGGGTTGAGCTCTGGCTCTTTGGTCCCGTCTCTCAACTGTCAATCAACTGGTGTACAGGTTCCTGAGCCTATTGGGCTCTAAAGTTGACGACATGTCGGTGAGTATGAGGACGGACCAAAACGTAGTCACTGTCCTTTAAATTAATGTGCGAGTCTACCTATATTGTGCTGGTTCCGAGGATCAATGTCCCCGCTGCCCGGTCTCTGACCAAGCCTTCTGGCTGCGTAATTTATATCCGGATATATCCGGATAATAAATCTGGAAACAAATCCCCAGGACTCAATACCCATAAAATCACGTCCACTCTTGATCATGGCTCGCCGCCACTGACCGCTCAAGCAGAAGAATTAAAACACTTGAAACTGTACAAAACTGGGCTGAAGGAGGTTATCTTGAGGTTATCTTGAGATAACCTCAAGATATGGTCCGTCCTGGACCATTCTCAAGTGGTGTTGACGGACCGAAACGACGACGTTTCTCCATCTTCTGATGTCTGGTTTGGTTATAACTTGAGGTTATCTTGAGATGATTTCGAGGCTTTAGTGTCCCCGCGGTCCGGTCCTCGACCAGGCCTCCACCCCCAGGAAGCAACCCGTGACAGCTGACTAACACCCAGGTATCTATTTTACTGCTAGGTAACAGGGGGGCATAGGATGAAAGAAACTCTGTCCATTGTTTCTCGCCGGCATCTGGGATCGAACCCAGGACCACAGGATCACAAGCCCAGTGTGCTGTCCGCTCGGCCGACCAGCTCCCTAGGAGCACGTAAATGGACAACAAAAATGATCATTTCTGACTAGAAACAAACCTCGAGCCATTTATAACACGTCAAAACTTAACAGCATCCTTAGCATTCAAAATCTTCAAAAAAAGGACGAAACAGGATGCAACTTACAAAAGTGAGGTAATTATCGGTGAAAATGCCAAACCATTACCACTATATAGCACTTGGAACGGATATGAGGGTAAGAACTTGGGATAGGATGGAAAAAAATGGTGCCCAACAACTTGGACGGTCGGGGATTGAACGCCGATCTGCAAGACGCGAGACTGTCACTCTAACGTCCAGTCCAAGTTGTTGGATAAGGCTTACAAGAGTCTCGGAGGCTTGCTTAAAGAACCAAACCTACTTGAGAACAACGACAAATAACTGAGAATAGTAATAGATAATAGTAATAGATAACTCAGGAGCCTCAAGCACCATCAAGTCAATCCTTAACACTTCGTCTCTATTCACCTAGTAGTAATTGGGTACCTGGTTGTTAGCCTGATTGATCTGCATCAAACTACCTACCAACCTCAGAGATGTGGTCCTGTTTTAGTGATCCACAACATGCCTCTGAGAAGTTATACAAAACACACAAGGTTATGAAGCAGTAGCAGCTTTCTACTCTCCCACTTGTTCCACTGGTCAACAGAGTGACTAACAATGCCTCCACACTTCACACACCCAAATGTTCCCTGCCACTTGACCTGACATTAGTAAGACCTAACGTGAACACCCTGACATTATTCCAGGAACAATAGCTTCAGAGGGGCCTGGGTACCGGTTCTTAAGGTCGACGACAGATGCCAATAGTAATAATAATGAAATGAATAACACAGACTCATCAATACAGAGCTCCTGAGGAATCTTGGGCTGCAAAGTT